TGATTTGTTCCCTTTACGTCTGTAATAGTGAATGGGTCTTGTGTTGGTGCAATGACTAAGTTATTTTTGCTTGGAGTAAGTTCGATAGAAATTTTTCCTGCCCAGTTTGGCAAGTATCTTAAAAACCTGAAGATGAGGAAAGATGACAAAGGAACTCTAAGTTTCAGTTTTACTTTGGTTACTGCTGCTGCAGTTTGTCCAGAAAGGTTAACATAAACTCCTGGAACGTTAGGGTCAAGTCTTCTTATTTTCTCAATAGTTGCATACTGGTCTGTTTGTTCTCTAGCTTGTGGTTGTACTGAGTTTCTCAAAGCGAACCATTCATAGTTTGCCCATGTTACTGTTTGAACTAAGTCAGAGTTAGAATATATCTTATATCCCATGAAAACTTCTGGAGCATATTGGTATCCGACATAGAAAATTCCATTGCAACCTTTCTTGTCAGACAACTTGGCAGAAGGTTTTATTTCAATGTCTTGTTCCACGTATAAGAATGAGTTGTCAATAGAAATAATATGAAACCTGTCGCAAGCAATATCTACTGTTGTTGAAGAACCTTCTCCAAACTCACCTACGTTTCCATAAGAAACAGCAGTTGTATATTCGTAAGTTCCAGGAACTATTTCTGACCTTCTAATGGCATTGTCGCATTCGTTATACCATTCGGAAACATTTCCGTTCATGGCATCCAAAACTGTTGGCGTTATATTCTGAGCGGCGTACATTTCATATGGGTAAAAATATAGAATAGTTGGATTTATGTGTCATAATAGAACCCACTCGTACCAAGCTTTACTTTCTTCCTGACTGAGTTTTTAACTCTTCTTTTTCCTTCATTGCCACTACTTTCACTAGATGAAGTTACTTCTTCACTACTTTCACTTTGTTCTACTCTTCTCTTCTTCTTTGGTGTCGCTTTTGGTAACTTGCCCTCTGCTTCAAGTTGTTGCATCTTTGCCTCATGTTCACCTAGTATGTTGTAAATTTCCCATGTCCTTTTTGCCTTTGGGCTCTGGTCGCCCATCTCAGGTAACCTATATCCTAGAAAGATTTTGTCATAGTTTGTATTTGAGTCTTCGCTTATTGTTTGCATGACTCTTTCCTGAGTTTCCGGTTCAAGCTCTTCAAACAGAGCTTGTCCATATGGAATAAGCTCGTTTCCAAATATATGTTTTTGTAGCCATTCTGGTTTTCTTTCCATGTTACCAATAATATCTTTTGTGAATGGGAAAGCTTTTACCCAATGTTTCAGTCTTGCGTCATTTATTTCTGTAGTTGGTTTTATTTTGTCAAGGAACATGTTTTTCAATACTAACATTTCATTTGGTACTGTCCATTTGAGTTTTCTTAAATATTCATCCCTTCTCGGTTCATTGTCTGCAAAGTAAGTTTTTATGACATTTTGCAAACTTTCGTTTGCAAGGTCATGTACAATAGGTTCTCTTCCTTCTCTCTCCCTAACTTTCTTTCTAAACTCTTCACCAAATATACCATCTCTATGGTTCTGTGTAGTTCTTTGAGATAAATGTTTAGAACGTCAGGTGTTATATTTCCATCAGCCATGTTCATTTCATACTGGTCCAAAATATCTGCATCTTTCATATCTTTCAATGGCATTAAAGCCGCGCTGAAAATACCAGCTAAATCTGGTTCACCATTCACTTCCATTGCGTCTACAACTTCTTGGAATTGAGGTTGTAAGTTTATGAACCACCTATCCGGGTTAGCTTTATGACCCCATCTCATTGTAGTTCCATAGTCTGCAGAAACAAAAGTAGGTTTGTTTCCATATTGGTTAGGTTCTGAATGAACTTTAAACAATGTTTCATTTCTATATGTTTTGTTGAAATTTAACCTTTATTTTCACCGAGTTCAGCCAAAGATTGAACGTTATATGGTCGTAAGTAAAAAGGATTATTGTATTTGTGTACATTTTCTTTCAGTACTTCCATTCTATGCTGAATATTTTCATCTGATGTTGGAGTCTTTTGTATGTCGGCGAACATTTTTCGATATTCTTCTACTATGTCAGCCGAATTTTTCTTAGACTCTTGGAAAGATTCCATATTCACCTCATAGTCTTGTTGAGGGTCAAGATTTTTCGGCTGTTCCAAATCTTCATCTAGTTCTGTGAAGTTAGTTTCCAAAGGAGGAACTTGTTCGTTTCCTTCAGGCTCTTCTAGCTGTTGTTGCTGAACTATTTCTTCCATGTCTGGTTGTATCTGAACTTCTTCCTGTTGAGTTTTTGTACCTCATCTGGTGGCATTTCATATATTCCGAGACCGTTTTTAAAAAGTTCCCTATCTAAGTCATCCGGACTCATAAACCTTTCTTCTTTCGTTCCGTCTCTATTTTTACGCGTTTCATGAAGAGAGTTGAATTATCATTTAGCTCTGACATCAAATATCTCGGAGTAAATTCATCCATGTCATTTGGATGATATGCTATTAAATCATATCCCTTAGCGAGCTTGTATTTTCCAGGTTTGAAATTATATCCCATTTGGTGCTGAACCATAAAGCTAAATAGGTTCGGGTCAGTATTTCCTTCCTTGAACTTTTTAATAGCTTCTTTATATCTGTCACTAAAGTCAAGAGTATCTGGTAACCATAATCTTCCTTAAGCATTTTTAAGAATTCTTGGTTTCCTTGTTCTCTACTTCTTTTGTGTCTTTGCTCTGTTTGTGGTTGTTGTTGTGCAGGGTTTTGAACTGTTGGTTGTTGTGTAGTGTTTTGAACTGTTGGTTGTGGTGCTGGATTTTGAACTGTGTGGTTGTTGTTTTGTTTTTTGGTGCATGCCTGTGTCTGTGTCCATGTGACGATGTAAATGTTTTAGGTAGTCCTGGTGCAGGTGCTTCTCTTGGAGGGTTTGGTGGTATATAAGTTCCACTAGCTAGTATATAAGTTCCACCAGCTGGTATATAAGTTCCACCAGCTGGCACATATGTTCCATCTGCAGCATAATGTCCTACCTGACTTTTCGTTCTTAAGAAAGCATTTACTAGGTCTGTTTTGGTCTGTTGTAACTCTTTTTCTTGACTTTCCACAACAGTTGCTCTAACGGCGTCATAGGCACTTTGAACTGCCTGTCTCGTTGCTGCATCTGTTATTTTCGTCATATTTTGTGCTACTTCTCTTAACTCTTTGTCGAAACCTTCAGACTTCAGTTTCTTTCCAGATGAGAAGTCGTTCACTAGTTTCACCTTACTATGAAGAGCTTCGAAGGCATTCTTAAAGTCAGCATTCATTAAAGCTTCATTTGAACTGTCTTCATCCGCTTGTATTTTTGTCCTTATTGACCCTATAAGTTGGGCTGCTTTAGCGTTGGCTTGGGCATCTAACCAGTCATTATTAGCTTTTATAATATCTGCGCTTTTCATTGCCTTTTGCATGGCTGCGTCGTTATTTTCTTTCTTGTGCTAAGTTTTCATACTGTACGGTTTGGTTTTGCAACTGTAAAAGTTTTTCTGCCTTTACATTTGCTTCAACTTCTTTTTATACTCATCGCTATCCATATATGTCTTCAGGGCTTTTTGTTTTATTTCTTCATCTTTCAGTACTTTATATTGAGTAGTATTGTTTTTCAAATTTATAACATCTTGTTCCATTTTTGCTACTTCTGCTGCTTTTTCTGACACTTTTTTCGCATATTCCTCTGTACTTAGTTCTTTCAGTTGTTCTTCTTTCTTCTTTTTTCTCTACGTTTAACTCATTGAGTTTCTTTGTGTGTCTGTCATATTCTAGTTTCTTTTCGTTTTCACTTATTTGTTTCTGTATGTCTATGTTTGACTTTTTGACATCTGTTATTGATTTTTGAGTGAACTCAAATTCATTTGACTTTGAGGGTTATAAGCTGTTCCGTCTGCAGCTCCACCATAGCCTGCCATTTTCGCTAAAAGTGCGCGCTCTTAAACCTCCACTCTGTGCACCAATAACTCGGTTTAAAAGCATAGGGTTGCTTGACATTTGTTGCAACATAGTGGGGTCATTCATCATTTGTTGTTGCAACTGTTGTTGTGGTGTCAGTTTTACTATTGGATGTTTCAATGCTCCCTTCCTCTTACGTATATTCTTACGTAGCTTACGTGGCATTTTAAGTGAAGTAAAAAACGGTTTTTGACAGATGTTTATATGACACTTTTTGTTCAGCACAAAAAACTACTCGGTCAAAGTGTTGTCAGTTTTGTAAAATAACCGTCCTATCTCATTCTATAAGGGGGAAAAGGCTTCTCAAGACATTCAAGATTCAGAATATACCGAATAAAAAAAACAATTTAAGACTGAAAATTTAATTTTATTATAATATTTTTATTTTTTTCATCTGGTCTTTGTATCATTCCTCCTCTAGTTTCTCCGGGGCTAGAGGGCGCAACGCGCCTGGAAGCCCCACTTACCTGACCTCAATAAGCATTCATTCTTCTACAATTTTGAATTTTGTTGTATCATTTTGAATCTTTCAAAAGTTCTCACAATTTTTCCAGCCTACATAGATTGCTCGTTACATTTAATATTGGTTTAAATGTTTGTTTTTAAATTCTTCCATCTCCTAATTTAAATGTAATTTTCACCATTTTTATAAAAAATCTAGTAATTTATTATATTGTCTAAACGGAGAATTACGAGATTTAAAGGTCCGAATGGCTTTATACAGTATTTTCAAAAAATTTATAAATGTACATAGAGTCATAGGTTCATTATATATTTCAATTACATTATTTTGATGATATATTTTTTAATTTTCCATATTATGTTCATTCCCACATTACACAACAGTTTGTTGATGCTTTCCATACAATAAAATTACAAAAGATGATCAAAAAAATTAATTGAGAAATAAATCTCGTATTTCGTAATTTATCTTTATTTGTTTTGCCTCTATACAATATGTTAATGCTTTTTCGGGCATTATTTCTTATAAATACTCGTAAATATTTAATTTTGTCAATGCGTAAAATTTTTTACCCCTTACTTCATCTCTAAATGAATGTTATGGATAAGAATATGGCAGCTTTTGTGAAAGACAGCGCGAGCCTCTTTCCAAATTTAAATCTACAAAGTCCTGCCTATCAGGTTACTAACCTGCAGAATTCGCTTTGGGAACCACCTGAATATCCAGAGTCTGAAAATTTCGGATTGAATTTTTACTTAACACCTGCAAAATGTGTTACAAGAGAATTTCAGTCCCAAGCACTTGGTAAATCACCAGAGTCGGTCGATCCACAACTATTTTCATTTGATTCTAACTTGAATGTTGAATTACTTAAAAAGAATTTTGATGAAAAAGTTAAACTGGCACCTCCTTTGGCCTCTATTTATCAAAAGAATGTTCCTCATTTTCAGATAGATTCAAGACCCGCAGTTTCTTCCTTAGATTCCAATCAATTAAAATACTTAACTGTTACAATTAATGACCTTACATCATCTGCCGAGATTATTGAACCAATTATTGTTTCCTGCTTCCTTTACGATATCGATCTTAATAAGCGTGTCTCAGAAACTTGGCGCTTCGTTCCGAAATCATTACAGAATCTTCCAAACTGCAAAGAACTTATCTCCAGAAACATTCTAAGCGCTCCAGATTCTGTGTCATTTCCATTTACGCAAACCTTCGGTCATAGTCGAATTCTTTTCATTGCATCTCTTGATCGTCTCCTTGTCAAAGATGGCGGCTCATCTCTTGAGAAATATATCAACAAGCCATCGAATTCAACCAAGAAAACTGCACTTGAAGACATTAAGAAATGTAATCAAAAAGATACATCGCAAACATTTGCATGGTGCCATCAATCGTTTGCAGAGCTCATTCCACAATCTGACTCTGGAAACAAATTATTTACCAATTTTGTTCCCTGCACAACTCTTGATAACGAATTTCTTGGAAAGGAATTCACAAATGGAGTCTCAAAATCAAAAGATAAGGCATTACCATTTACCTTGTCACTCAATGTTTATGCACAAGATAAAGGATCCCTCAAATTACAGCATTTTTACCGATTCGCTCATTCACAACCATATCGTACATTCGAGAACAAATTGTTCTTAAACTTAAAATCCGCAAGATTCAAAAAACCACGCAATCATAGAATGATCAGAAACGCTGTCATTGTAATCAAAATACTCTCCGATGGAAAAGAATTACCTTTATTTAATGGCTCAGAGAAATATGTTTCCAGAGTTCATTACCATGAAGACCATCCCAACTTCCATGATGAGGTAATCATTAATCTTCAATTGGAGATGCCTCCAGAGCCAATTCTCGAGTTCTCAATTTACCATGCATCTGTCAAGCCTGGAGCTGCAACTTCTCTCGAATTATGTGGCAAGGCAACTTATCCTTTGTTCAAAGATGGAACAGTCATTGCAGATGGCGACCACACAACATACATTAACTATGGTCCAGATAATCCATTCGATCAGATCGATAGCAATGCAATTTGTTTCTCGACTGAGTTATTTTCAAGCTACTACTCATCAAATCCAAACATCAACAAAATTCTCAATGGAAATTACGATATCCAAACTCCACAGCTCCAAGATTTGCATCCTTACATCTTCGCCGTTCTTGATTCGATTTTACAAGCCATTGAAAAAGAAACGCCAAATGCATTTCAATGCCTCATGGAAATCCTCAGCCTATATCCAGATGAGAGAAACCATGCAAGCAACGCCAATCTTATTTTCTACGTGACTTTTTGCGCATTACGCTGGCCATCCCAAAACTTCTACAAGCATCTTGCTTCTCAGTGGCTTGAGCATACTAAAGCCTCCAAAGATAAAGTCCGTCCAGATATAGTTGCCTCATGGTTCTTATTTGATTTAATCATCAAATCTCTCTCAATTACAACATCAAAGCTCGATCTTACAGATATTATTAAGCTCTGTACCGAGCTCACAAATTCAATGTCTGCATATCGTGAAAAATATGTTAAAGCAGGAACAAACCTTAACATCTATATGTCACTTTTCTTCAAGGACATTATAGAAGTTTCAAGCAGGCCAATTGGTTTCCAGTTACTCCAAAAACATTTGAGCGTCCTTAATCTCGAAAAACATCTTTTCGATCGTGCATGCTTCAGAGATGTCTTGATTAACATCTTAACACCAAAGATCTTTTTGCTCAGCCTTGTCAATATCAATGAGAAAGAAACATTCCTTGACAAGTACATTGTTGGCGGTATTGCACAAGCTCTTCAAAATGATCAACATACAAACATGGTTTTCCATACATTGTTCGATCTGCTTTCCCAATTTAATGAAAAGCAACATAAATTCATATTCAAGAAGCTTTTCAGCATACTTTCCGCTATTTGCAACAATGTCAATGTTCTTAAAGGCTACTCAAGTGGCGTTAACCGTGTTTACGTCTTTGCATTTGTTCAATACGTCTTGATGTACGTAATTCAAGATGGAAAGATAGAGCACAAGCCTGAATGGTGCAAGATGATTGCATTTATGCTCTTGAATGCAAAGCATTTCAAAGATAGCCAGAGAGATACACTTATCAGAGAATTTGAGAAGAGCGACAATACAATTGAAGATCTCACAAAGAAAGTTCTTGGCGGAATCAACGAACTTTCAAGCACAGGTTCAACAGCTAGCAAACCAGGTGCAAGAAGATTCACTTCAATCAAGCAAACAAGAACAACAGATAAAGTTAAGAGACCACAAGAACAAAAGGAGATCTTGAATATTTATGATGCATTGACATTCGGTGTCCAATCAATCGCCATTTCCTTCCTCGATAAGTATGATTCTATTGACATTGTTAATGATATATCGGTCAATTTATTCAATATTGATATAAACCCATACTTACAGGAAGACGTTTCAATTGCTATTATCAACTTTATTCAAAAGGACAGATGCAAGTTCCTTCTTGAAGATCCTCGATCCAACGTCAAGCATGTGATTACAAAGATCATCAGAACTCCTACTGCCTCGAATATCAAAATCTTGTGCGAAATCTCTCAAATGGAAGAGAAGTATCTTAAGAGCACTAGAAGAACAGACATTCTTCTTTCTAGAGCCTTTGGTAAGAATCCACCAACTGAAGAGCATCTCAAGCTAATGCAAAATACTAAGTTCAAGGACTTCACTGAGAAACTGTTCAATATCAATAAAGATCTTACACAAGATCTAAAGACAAAGAATCCTGATACTTATGCATTCCTTCTTTACCAAAAAGCTGAACACCTCAAGGCATCCCCCGATATTCAGATCGAGATTCTTCTCCAACTTCATGCTCACCAATTATCGGTTTCATACAACAGTGAAGCTGTTATGGCGCAACTCACAGCTGCTGCCATTGTTGCAGAATACATGTATCACTTCAAGAAGATCCCTGAGGAATTCTTTAGATCCAACCATCCAGCCGCCAAGTTTGCAAATCCATGCCCTGTTGCAATCAAGTACTGCGTTGACGATAATGAAATCAACTCCTTACCAGTACTTAGAGGATACTGCACCTCTAAGTATTTCACTGAATTTGGCTTAATCTATCTCATTCAAACTGCTATGGAAACATGCAAACAAGTTTCTCTCTTTGAATTGAGTACCCGTATCCACTCACTTCTATCTCCTATTGCTCAATTCAGATCATTATGGAGAGTTCTCCAGAACCACTACAGCACAGGTCAAATTTCATGGAGAATTGCTGCCAACATGTCAACATCCAATGATAGAAACCTAGGTGCATACTATAAAGTCGAATATCCTGATCATGAGATCTTCATTTATAGAGAAACAAATCTTACAAATCTTTGGGCAGTATGCAGCAAGTTGCAAAAAGCCTCAGCATATTATGCTAAAGGAAAGGAAGTTGTAACAATCACTGAAGGAACTGAACTTAATACTGAGAAAAATAATGATCCAACCAAATACTTTATTCATGTGAAGCACCTAACTCAATACTTCACCCCAGAAGAAAGACAAAAGAGAATGACTGCATTTGAGCAAAATCACAACGTTTCAAGATTTTACTTCGATGTTCCATTTTCAAAGAACTCTCAATCAGGTTTAGAACACTGTTCCTTGAAGAGAACAATTATCACACTACAAGATCCACTTCCTTTCTTAGTTGCAAGAGTTAAGCCGAAGTCTATCGAAACGATCATCTTCTCACCAATTGAGTACGCTGTCCAGAATATGCAGGGTCAGGTATCTAAGATCAAGGAAGCCGCAAATCGTGTCAAGAGCGAATTGAAAGATCTTGCTGCAAAAGAAGCACTTCATAAAAAGAAGATTAACATTGATCAGAATACAATTCCTTCATTCAAAGAATTACAGCCTTTGATTCAAGGATCATTGCTTGTTCAAGTTAACGAGGGTCCAGAAAAAATGGCTGCTATTTTCTTGAATACTCAATCCACTGATCCAACAATCGCTGTTCATCAAGAAAAACTTCGACAAATCTTCAGAGAATTTTTAGAAGCAAATGATGAAGCTGTTCAAATTCATGGCGAAATGGTCGTCAAGCTTCCAATTTACTCTGTCCTTCAAGAAGAACTTGTACTTGGTCTATCTAAATTGACCTCAAATCTTCAACAATACCTCAAATAATTCTAATATACAATAACCATATTTTGTTAAATTTTTTTTAATTCTTAAAAATATATTTTCGAACTAAAATCTAATAAATCGATAAATGATTCAATAGAATTGAAAATTATAATTTTCTGAAGTATCAATGAACAGTTTGGATTGCATTTTGAAGCTCAGAAAAATTGTTTGGATTATAATTTTTTTTACTAATTTTAAACAATTGGTATGGTCTGTAAAAAATATTGAATTGTATACAGATTAATTTGAATTAAAGTTTTCAAATTTAAATTAGTGCGCTTTACAAGCGAAGTGATCAAAAAATTAACACTTATTCAAATGTATATTTCATTTAAAAAGTGTTTGTATTGAATGTACAAATCCAAATTTAGGTTTACAAAATCTTGTAAAGCGGCTGTTTTACAGATTTGTCTGGTCACAAACACTTAAGACTTTTATAACAATAGAAATGCGTTTAAGATATTGAAATTGTCAAATTACAATTTTTTTTTCTAAGATGTCTTATTGAAAAACAGATTTGTCTGATCACAAGCACTTAAGACTTTTATAACAATAGAAATGCGTTTAAGATATTGAAATTGTCAAATTACAATTTTTTTTTCTAAGATGTCTTATTGAAAAACAGATTTGTCTGATCACAAACACTTAAGACTTTTATAACAATAGAAATGCGTTTAAGATATTGAAATTGTCAAATTACAATTTTTTTTTCTAAGATGTCTTATTGAAAAACAGATTTGTCTGATCACAAGCACTTATCAAGTTCCTCATTCTTTATATGATTTATTTCCACTCAAATATTTATTCATATTAAAAAATTATATCATTATAATTTGCTTATTTCATCTTCATTGCTGTAATTTTTAATCTTTCAATTAGTTCTTTTGGTACGTATTCTAAATATTCTTCTTTTGTATCTAAAATTGTTTGATAACGAATTCTAATCTTTCGTTTTGCAAACTTTCGTCTGTAAAGTAAATCTTGATTGAAATCTCGAGTATCTTGTTTACAAAACGATGGATACTTAATGTGTGCATTGAAACTGAGAATTTATTGGAAATTCTGAATAAAAGTAATTTATTTCTTACTTGAGATGGCTCAAAGTTTTCCAAAACGTATTGCAGAATATCGCTTTTCCAAATGCAATTCGTGAGTATTAGATTAGCTAACAAATCTGCATTTGTATTTCCAAATTCCGCGAAAAGGCGCTCTAAAATAACCGTTTTGTAATCTGACCTGAGAATCGTATAACCCATTAAATGAATTTTCTTTGATATTGCCTGTTTGTTTGAAAATATTTCTTGTATTGATTTTTCATTTTCAATTAGTAATTTGTCACATTCTCTCGTCAACATATTGTAAATATTAATAACGTTTTCTTCATTGTAACTTGTCTCATCACTAAGATTTGAAATAACGTTTATAAAAATTTCCGCAGCTCTTGATGGAAGCAAAAACTCCCTGTGTGTATTTATAAATGATAATAGTATTTCGGATATCACGCAATTTTTTGGTATTTCGTTAATAATTAGATTTATTATTTTGAATTTGTCTGATTCTTCTTTTATTTGTGAATTAAACGATTGAATTATTCCATTCTGAATATTAGTGTCAAATTTGTAGAATAAATTAAACGAAAAGTTATTGAGAAATGAGGAATTTATAAATTCGTCTAGAATTCTTTGATCATTGCATAAAAATCCAATGAATTCGAATTCATTATCGGTTTGAATATAACTTGATGGTAGATTATTAAAAATTGAAGATATGAAAACTGATTGCATATATGAAATAAGACCTCAGCAGTTTGATCTTCTTTAATCTCCCAGATTGCATCCATAAATTGATTAAATTCTTCTTTAGAGAATGGTTGGGAAAGAATTTTCACAATAAATGGAAGAATATTATCCATATTTTAAAAAAGTGACAGAATTGCTAAATTTAGATTTTCTCATATATCAGTTTAATTTCTAAAATAATATCGTAAATGCATAAAATTTTATTCCACTCCTTCAAAATATATGAATTGTTTCCTTAAATTATAAGATTTGCATCCTTCTTAGATAAATTTCAATTTTGACATTGTGAATAATCACCAAAATTTTTAAAAGATTTCAAAAATGAGCTAACATCCAATTATAATTAAATTTCAGAAAAAGTAAAGAAATCTGAAAAAAATAGTAATGAAAAAACTCCTCTTAATAGTGCAGATCACTATTATATAACTTATAAAATTTTGACAATCATATGCCTCCTCGTACTTTTTCATTTTTCTCAGCCTCAGAGACTATCATATATCAAAAAGATGCTACGAATAAGCATGAATTTCTGAATCAATTTTTAAATTTACACTTTCCAAATTATTCAAAAAATTTAAGAAAGCACGTATGGAATTATTTAAAGCGTGCTTGCACAATTCAACTCAGAGATTGCGATAAAAACGTTTACACACAATATTATATTAGTCCTCCCTATAAATTTCACAAAATTGATTCATCCGGCACCGAACATTCATATTCAATCGTTTACAAATGCGAAGGAAGCTGCAATTACAAAATAAAAGTGACACTGTACCCAAATCAAATTCCAAAAATCGAACCTCTCAGTGGTGAGCATTCATGCACACCAAAAGGTACAGTTTTTAGAGATATTGAAGAAGAAACAAAAATTAGGGATCTAATGCAAATTACACGTGAACACCATTCAATACAACCGTTAACTTCAGAAGCGCAAATATTATCATATTTACTTTCTGAGGCAACAAAACTTGAAAGGCCTCCAAAAATACCAGAAAATTTACCACGCACATTATACAAAGAGTTTTATCCACATAATTTGGTTATTCCAGATTTTGTGGAACAAATTCTTTCAATTACCAAACAAAATTCCGAAAATTTTCTAAAATACATCGCGTTTTACCCAGAACCAATAATAATTTTCGGTTATGATCGTTCTGTCTCAATTTGTCACTCAGCAACAAAATTATTCTTGGACGGTACCTTTAAAATCGTCCCAAGACAGTTCGATGACAAGGGTCAACTCCTTACATTAATGGTGCTTGACCAAACAACGAATGAATACATTCCTGTTGTCCACATTCTTATGAAATCTCGGACAGCAGAAGCGTATACAACTGCATTTTCCGCATTAATTTCAATAATTGGGTTCAACAATTTCAAAACTGTTTACGTAGATTTTGAAATCGCACTTTACAAATCCATTAAATTATTTTGTCCAAACGCAAAGGTTACTGGCTGCTTATTTCATTATCGCCAAGCATTAATTCGCAAAATAAAAGAATTATACCCGAAACAAGAGATACCAAAAGAGATTTTTACACTTTACCAAATTTATTCCTCATTACCTTTCGTCGAAAAAGACTCATTTTATCAAATACTTAAATTAATCGATGAGTCATCCTCAGAAATTGCAAAGCCGTTCGTAAATTACTATAAAAAAGTATGGAAGAAAGATTATGAGTTCATTAACCAATTAGATTCAGAGGATGATATCTACACAAATAATGCTCTTGAATCCTTCCATTCTTTGCTTTCGAAAGAATTAGAAAATGCCCATCCTAGCCTCGAAATAATGATTGCAATCTTAATGAAAGTCGATAAACACTTGTTGGATAAACAATTACTCAGTACAAAACCAGCAAAACATCCTGTCAATTATACAAAGTCCACAGCAAATATTAAAAAAGCAATTACAAATTATTTATCCGAAACAAATCGAAATTCCAAGAAAAATCAAATCAAACTTAAAGAATTTCAACAGTATGGTATCATTACATCTCGCTCAAGTTTGATTTGGACTTAGGATGTGTAATGCGAATGCAAATTATTATTTTAATTTATAATTAAAATAGCCCAACTTGTAGTATAGTCTCTAGCAATGTACCTGTCACACTATGGTAGGCTTTAAACTTGATTTTAAAGAACAAGGCAAATAATCAGATTTTAAATAATGAGAATTTAATGTAGTGAACACTTATTTAAGTTCGTGAATGAATTTATATCCTTTAGTAAAATACAATTGAATAGGTTTACACTCAAAATATATGAGTTTTTATCTTCTAGATATTTTATCGATTTCAAAATTAAAGTCAAAATCGATGTTATAGTGTTTATAATAATTGGGATTTGTCTGATTGCATTATGACATTATTAGAATGTTTGAAATCGATTTCTTAAATTTCAAAATAATCATATGTATCAAAAATTTAACATGTGGTAAGATTGTTATATGATTATTTTTTCGGCTAATGATATGTAAACTAGTAACAGCATGTAGAATGAATAAGAATAAAAAGAAAATGAGAAATTATTTAGTAAAAATTGAATAAGAAAAAACTGAGAAGTATTCAAAAAATAATAAATTATAAAATATTAGTTTTATATAGTATATTAATATTTCACAATTTATTTTTGAATGTGTTTGAAATGAATTGAGAAGATTTTATATGAAAATGTATTTATGAAAATTGCAGAATGAGATTATTATAAAGAGTTAACAATAGGTAATATTAAAAAAATGGTGAAAGATGAAATAAGATATTAGATGAAGAAGAAAATAATAAAGAAATAAAAAAGATAAAGATTAAAAAAATAAATTTATGATAAAAAGAAAGTGATGGTTAAATGTAATGTACTGTGAAGTTGCGTTTAGAAATATTGAGAAAGGTGAAAGATAAAAGAATATGAAATTAATTGAAAATAAAATAGTAAAATTAAATAGGGAAGGCATTGTTTGCTTTAATATTATATGTAAAAGAGATATTGATATAATATTATTACTGAAAAATGCGAAAAGAGATTAAACAGAGTGAGAAATTTAAGTCAGGCTTTACCAAAATTTGATGAAGATGATTTGGAAAGTCCTTTGTCGGAAGATGACTAATTTATTATATTATTTTTTTTATTTTGGTTGAATTAAAGGTTATTTTTATATTCATTGGATTTTGTATAGAATTGTAATTATAGTTTGAATGGAAACAATAAAACATTATAGTGATATAAGACATCTGAGAAAAAAAAATTGTAATTTGACTATTTCAATATCATAAACGCATTTCTATTGTTATAAAAGTCTTAAGTGCTTGTGATCAGACAAATCTGTTTTTCAATAAGACATCTTAGAAAAAAAAATTGTAATTTGACTATTTCAATATCATAAACGCATTTCTATTGTTATAAAAGTCTTAAGTGCTTGTGATCAGACAAATCTGTTTTTCAATAAGACATTCTGATTCAAAACTTTAAATTATATCTCTACCTTTCCAAATCATCTTCATCAAATTTTGGTAAAGCCTGACTTAAATTTCTCACTCTGTTTAATCTCTTTTCGCATTTTTCAGCAATAATTTCAAGTTTGTTCTTCTGTATTTCCTTTTTTGGACGTATGATCCAACTATCGTCATCATCGCTATCAACATTATTCTTTTTGGGCATAGCAGGGTTGGAAATTTCTTTGAAATTTTGAACTTCTTCAACTTCTTTGTAAACGTCGCTTTCAGACGATATAGGTTCCTCGTATTGTCTGATTCAGATTTGTCTGTAGTACTTTTCTCGTTTGGAGCATTTGAAATTTTTTTATTTTCAAAAGTCTCGGATTCTGAACTTATTGGTGTCTCAAAAGATCCATCTGATAATTCTGGAATAGGATATGGACTCTTTTTACCTTTAGCCTTTACCTCGAAATCATCATCAGAATCATCTGAGAGAGGTTCATCTGTAACTTCTGAATTTGAACTGCTGTGGTCTGAATTTGAATGAGCCTTCTCAATTTTGCTTGTTTTGCGAGTAATTTTCGAAAATTTTTCACCAAGATCACCATTAGGCTTTTGTATGTTCTTTTTTCTTGTAAGACAACGATTACTTCTTTGTTTTGGAAATTTGGTTCGGTTAATTTTCGTGATTCCCTTTTGTTCGATTGAGAATAAATTCTCGGTGAGTAATGTTTTATCGAATTTGTAATTTGATGGATTTGCCATTGATTTGATCACTTGATTAACCACTTTATTCTGGTCATTTGGGATTTCATTGAGAATCTTCTCATCATTTTGAGAAAACTCACCTGTTTCTGGTGTAAAGTCGATTGAATTCTCGTTTACTTGATTTGACTGTTGAAATTCTTTAAGTTTGATTTGATTTTTCTTGGAATTTCGATTTGTTTCGGATAAATAATTTGTAATTGCTTTTTTAATATTTGCTGTGGACTTTGTATAATTGACAGGATGTTTTGCTGGTTTTGTACTGAGTAATTGTTTATCCAACAAGTGTTTATCGACTTTCATTAAGATTGCAATCATTATTTCGAGGCTAGGATGGGCATTTTCTAATTCTTTCGAAAGCAAAGAATGGAAGGATTCAAGAGCATTATTTGTGTAGATATCATCCTCTGAATCTAATTGGTTAATGAACTCATAATCTTTCTTCCATACTTTTTTATAGTAATTTACGAACGGCTTTGCAATTTCTGAGGATGACTCATCGATTAATTTAAGTATTTGATAAAATGAGTCTTTTTCGACGAAAGGTAATGAGGAATAAATTTGGTAAAGTGTAAAAATCTCTTTTGGTATCTCTTGTTTCGGGTATAATTCTTTTATTTTGCGAATTAATGCTTGGCGATAATGAAATAAGCAGCCAGTAACCTTTGCGTTTGGACAAAATAATTTAATGGATTTGTAAAGTGCGATTTCAAAATCTACGTAAACAGTTTTGAAATTGTTGAACCCAATTATTGAAATTAATGCGGAAAATGCGGTTGTATACGCTTCTGCTGTCCGAGATTTCATAAGAATGTGGACAACAGGAATGTATTCATTCGTTGTTTGGTCAAGCACCATTAATGTAAGGAGTTGACCCTTGTCATCGAACTGTCTTGGGACGATTTTAAAGGTACCGTCCAAGAATAATTTTGTTGCTGAGTGACAAATTGAGACAGAACGATCATAACCGAAAATTATTATTGGTTCTGGGTAAAACGCGATGTATTTTAGAAAATTTTCGGAATTTTGTTTGGTAATTGAAAGAATTTGTTCCACAAAATCTGGAATAACCAAATTATGTGGATAAAACTCTTTGTATAATGTGCGTGTGTAAATTTTCTGGTATTTTTGGAGGCCTTTCAAGTTTTGTTGCCTCAGAAAGTAAATATGATAATATTTGCGCTTCTGAAGTTAACGGTTGTATTGAATGGTGTTCACGTGTAATTTGCATTAGATCCCTAATTTTTGTTTCTTCTTCAATATCTCTAAAAACTGTACCTTTTGGTGTGCATGAATGCTCACCACTGAGAGGTTCGATTTTTGGAATTTGATTTGGGTACAGTGTCACTTTTATTTTGTAATTGCAGCTTCCTTCGCATTTGTAAACGATTGAATATGAATGTTCGGTGCCGGATGAATCAATTTTGTGAAATTTATAGGGAGGACTAATATAATATTGTGTGTAAACGTTTTTATCGCAATCTCTGAGTTGAATTGTGCAAGCACGCTTTAAATAATTCCATACGTGCTTTCTTAAATTTTTTGAATAATTTGGAAAGTGTAAATTTAAAAATTGATTCAGAAATTCATGCTTATTCGTAGCATCTTTTTGATATATGATAGTCTCTGAGGCTGAGAAAAATGAAAAAGTACGAGGAGGCATATGATTGTCAAAATTTTATAAGTTATATAATAGTGATCTGCACTATTAAGAGGAGTTTTTTCATTACTATTTTTTTCAGATTTCTTTACTTTTTCTGAAATTTAATTATAATTGGATGTTATACTTCAATTCCTTAGTTGATAATAAAAGAACATAATATATGATCTTTGTTTCATTATTTAATTTTGTTCTATTTCCTTTATTTGACGAGAAAAATGAAAATTGTTTTCGAACAACTCCAAAAAAATTAGAGAAAACCGAATTTGTCTTGAAAAATTAATGATATTAAGCTCATTTTTGAAATCTTTTAAAAATTTTGGTGATTATTCACAATGTCAAAATTGAAATTTATCTAAGAAGGATGCAAATCTCATAATTTAAGGAAACAATTCATATATTTTGAAGGAGTGGAATAAAATTTTATGCATTTACGATATTATTTTAGAAATTAAACTGATATATGAGAAAATCTAAATTTAGCAATTCTGTCACTTTTTTAAAATATGGATAATATTCTTCCATTTATTGTGAAAATTCTTTCCCAACCATTCTCTAAAGAAGAATTTAATCAATTTATGGATGCAATCTGGGAGATTAAAGAAGATCAAACTGCTGAGGTCTTATTTCATATATGCAATCAGTTTTCATATCTTCAATTTTTAATAATCTACCATCAAGTTATATTCAAACCGATAATGAATTCGAATTCATTGGATTTTTATGCAATGATCAAAGAATTCTAGACGAATTTATAAATTCCTCATTTCTCAATAACTTTTCGTTTAATTTATTCTACAAAATTTGACACTAATATTCAGAATGGAATAATTCAATCGTTTAATTCACAAATAAAAGAAGAATCAGACAAATTCAAAATAATAAATCTAATTATTAACGAAATACCAAAAATATCCGAAATACTATTATCATTTATAAATACACACAGGGAGTTTTTGCTTCCATCAAGAGCTGCGGAAATTTTTATAAACGTTATTTCAAATCTTAGTGATGAGACAAGTTACAATGAAGAAAACGTTATAATATTTACAATATGTACGAGAGAATGTGACAAATTACTAATTGAAAATGAAAAATCAATACAAGAAATATTTTCAAACAAACAGGCAATATCAAAGAAAATTCATTTAATGGTTATACGATTCTCAGGTCAGATTACAAAACGGTTATTTTAGAGCGCCTTTTCGCGGAATTTGGAAATACAAATGCAGATTTGTTAGCTAATCTAATACTCACGAATTGCATTTGGAAAAGCGATATTCTGCAATACGTTTTGGAAAACTTTGAGCCATCTCAAGTAAGAAATAAATTACTTTTATTCAGAATTTCCAATAAATTCTCAGTTTCAATGCACACATTAAGTATCCATCGTTTTGTAAACAAGATACTCGAGATTTCAATCAAGATTTACTTTACAGACGAAAGTTTGCAAAACGAAAGATTAGAATTCGTTATCAAAACAATTTTAGATACAAAAGAAGAATATTTAGAATACGTACCAAAAGAACTAATTGAAAGATTAAAAATTACAGCAATGAAGATGAAATAAGCAAATTATAATGATATAATTTTTTAATATGAATAAATATTTGAGTATATATTCAAACGATTTTTAAATAATGTTTCTATCAAATGTGTAGTGATTCCGTCCCGATTAAAAATTGAGTACTTTCATCCCGATTTATCGGGATAAAATTGAATACTTTTATCCCGATTTCCCGATCAATTACGATGCCGCCTGGACACATGTCTTAATTGCTTGTGATCAGACAAATCTGTTTTTCAATAAGACATCTGAGAAAAAAAATTGTAATTTGACTATTTCAATATCATAAACACATTTCTATTGTTATAAAAGTCTTAAGTGCTTGTGATCAGACAAATCTGTTTTTCAATAAGACATCTGAGAAAAAAAAATGTAATTTGACTATTTCAATATCATAAACACATTTCTATTGTTATAAAAGTCTTAAGTGCTTGTGATCAGACAAATCTGTTTTTCAATAAGACATCTGAGAAAAAAAAATTGTAATTTGACTATTTCAATATCATAAACGCATTTCTATTGTTATAAAAGTCTTAAGTGCTTGTGATCAGACAAATCTGTTTTTCAATAAGACATCTGAGAAAAAAAATTGTAATTTGACTATTTCAATATCATAAACACATTTCTATTGTTATAAAAGTCTTAAGTGCTTGTGATCAGACAAATCTGTTTTTCAATAAGACATCTGAGAAAAAAAAATGTAATTTGACTATTTCAATATCATAAACACATTTCTATTGTTATAAAAGTCTTAAGTGCTTGTGATCAGACAAATCTGTTTTTCAATAAGACATCTTAGAAAAAAAAATTGTAATTTGACTATTTCAATATCATAAACACATTTCTATTGTTATAAAAGTCTTAAGTGCTTGTGATCAGACAAATCTGTTTTTCAATAAGACATCTTAGAAAAAAAATTGTAATTTGACTATTTCAGAAGATGTATGTGTATGTCCAACGGCACTTTTCCTGTTTAAGGTTTCTTGTAAGTTTGTAATATTTGCAATGGTATGTGTATGTCCAACGTCACTTTTCCTGTTTAAAGTTAGTTGTAAGTTTGTAATATTTGCAATGGTATGTGTATGTCCAACGTCACTTTTCCTGTTTAAAGTTAGTTGTAAGTTTGTAATATTTGCAATGGTATGTGTATGTCCAACGTCACTTTTCCTGTTTAAGGTTTCTTGTAAGTTTGTAATATCAGATATAGAATGTGTATGAGTCTTATCTGCTTTTGTCTCTAATGTTTCCTTAAGACTTGGTATTTGGTTAATATAATGTATATGAGTCTTTTTAGAATATTCGTTTTCAGCTCTTGTCACTTCACTTGACATTTTATTGTCAACATATGTTTTGTCTGCTAGTTCAGGATGAGTATGTTCTTTTGTTGCATAAGCATTGTTAGCTCTTTCTTCTTCTTTTGCTATTGCATCGTCTACATATTCTTTGTCAGCTTTGTTGTCAACATCTGCTTTCAAAAGAAGTTCATTTATAGGTTTCTCGTTTAAAGTTCCTTTTGTTGGATTTATACAGACAGTATTGTTCTTATTGTCTTGAAATAGAAACTCATCTGTTATAGGGTTAATGTCAGTTTTAAGTCACCCCCTTTCAATGACTCAGATATCTTAGAATAGTTTGAAAAGTTTGTTGTGTTCTTATTTAGAGCTTGCATAATGAGTTGCCGGTTGTGTTGTATTTCTCTCATAGACGCTGTTTCATTTGACATTTTTATTATAGATAAAATATGCTTCCAATAGAAAAAGAAAATTCTAGAGTTGCTACAACTAAACCATTAGATGAACTTTTTACTAATGTCGGTCAAAAGTTTGAGACAGATACCGTAAAGCATGAAGGCTATCGTTTTGACTACCCATTAAGATGGTTAAGAGACCCATCTGTCACAAAAGCTATTGGCTTTCGAAGAATAAAGTTTGTGTCTGTAGAAGATAAAAGTTTTCCATTTATTGTAAGGTTCATATAGATTATACATCTGAAGGGCAACGAAAAATGTGGGAAGAAATTGAGCTAATACAAGTTGACCTCTCATCTTCTCTACAGACTGCATTAAAAAATATAGAAGATAAAATAAATTCATGTTATGCAAAATATGCTGATGAATATGCGAATACCGATAGCACACTTTATGTGAGAATTGTATATGACAAACAAAATTCACAAGTGTCATTTCAAATCTACGAAGACAATCCAAATAAAGACGAACAAATATATACAGAATTCACTGCAATGTCATGGTATTATTTGCAAAGAATGTTAAATCAGAAAGTTGAACCTCCTTTAGCAAATATCTACAGTCGATATGCAAGAGATGAACCATATTTATTTAAAGATGTTTTCGACCCAGATGCTATTATTGTTCATGCTTCATTTTCTGGCGCCCAAAACTCTTTCTTATGCTTGGCAAATGACTTTTACGAAAAACCTACAAAGTTATACGAACCACCAAGTGGAAGTATTTCAGACTTTCAAGTATGGTTTACTACAGATGGAAGAAAAAGAATAATTCCATTATACCATGTGTTTTACTTAGAACTTAGTTTCATATACAACTACTATCGAACGATAAAAATATAACTTTTTAATATACCGGTTGTGGTTGCCAACTTGACTGTGGTGCAGGTTCAGGCTGTTGTATTACAGGAGCTTGTTCTTCTGGTTCAGGGTCTTTAGGTATAATACCAACAAACTGACCTACTCTTTTACCAGTTAGTATACAAGTCTTGGGTATGGTGGCACTGCGTTCCACCTTACCCAATACTTGTGAATTTGACACTTTACAAAACCGTTAACGTATATTTTACAACATGAACGCAAAAACTAACTTAACCTTAAATATTTACAAAGCCGCCAACAATTTCACCTCACTATCGTTCTCACTAACAACTTCACTAATGTTCTCATAAATTTTCCTCAATATCTTCATCATCAGTGTTAACCCTATTGTAGTCATACTTGAAGCCATAAACTTTCTCTAACTTCTTAACGTACAATTTACATAACTTACCTTCGTCATCGTATGGTTTAATGATATAACTATTTCTATCTTTATAAACAGTCAATGAAAAGTCAACTGGTCTCGGATGTATTTGAAAGAACATGTTATGCTCAGGAAGGAAGAATAAATGTTTAAATGTATGTTTGTTATATGTTTTGATTTGTATGAGTTGCTTTTGTTCTGTCATTACATCCAAATAAAAAAAATAATTTTAAAAAATAAAATAAAAAATAAATGATATCACCACCCTCACACGTATGAAAACATAGCACAAAAATAAATTTAGGTGAAGTGGTGAGATCTAACCCGATTTCTAACCCGATTTTAACCTCATTTCTACCCTGTTGAATTCATTGCTTTATTCTCACTTCGTCTTTCTCCAACTCTTCTAACTTCTTCTTAAGTTCAGCAATGTTGTCCTCATGAAGTTTAATCTTTCTCAAAATTCCTTCTTTATCTAATGGTTGCTTTATCTTTCTAAACTGAACTCTACCATCCTTCATAGTATGAATGTAAAAACCTTCTGGAATAATTCCTGATTTAATGTATTCTACCAAAAACTTTTGTTTCATTGCTTCAGTGACTTTAGTCGTCATTTCAATCAAATAAAAATTTTAATATTAAATAAAAATAACGTTATTTTTTCAGTAAGGAAACGCAGGAGTTTTACGATTTATTTGAGGAGTAGGTTCTGGTTTAAATGTTGGAGTCGGTTTTGGAGTTGACTTTTGAACAGGAGTTTGTAATTCCATAGGTTCAGGAGTCATTGAAGGTGTTGTTTGTGAAGGCGTTGGTTTTGGCGATGGTGTCGGAGTTTGTTTAACTTCAGCTACTTCAGTATTATTTACAACATTTGCTTTATTTCTTTTCAACATCATTACTGCTCCTGCTGTAGCTAGCAAACCTAGTGGGAGACCATATTTTATATAAGGACTTGACCAAATGCTATTTTTGACAGGAGCTGGTGGAACACCTAACCTTGGTGAGACTGCTCTTTGCCATTGTGCAGCTCGTAAGAAATATTCAATAGGTGCTCCATAATCGTTTGGTAAAGTTTGTTTCATAGATGGTGAAGGTTCACGAGAGCTTGATGAAGAACTCATTTATAAGCTTTAAAAATAAACGTTCATCCTTTATTCCTCACTGTCGTCAGTTGCTAAGTTATAGTGTCAATCTTATTATTGGTATGCCTGACTGTCTTACTGAATGCAAAGCAACAATCCCTCATAAATCCAATAAGTGGCTTTGGTACGTTTTCAGTTGCTAGTTCAATAGGTCCTTTAACAGACAATTTGTATGTTATTGGAGCAGTAGATGTTTGACCTTGCTGGAAGCAAAAGTCCACTTCTGTTGGAAAACCACATAAGAAATGTGTGTTGTCATAGCTATCCCATTTATGTTCCACACTACCATCATCCACCAATGACCTCATAACATCTTCATTAAATCCAATCATATCATTGTTTGTATTGCAAGCGTTCGCAACCATTTCATAAAATACAGGTCCATATGATTTTTCAGGTTCTGCAGGCATATTTCCATAAGCTCCCATGGAAAGCTGAAGATATTTAAACTTAGGGTTCTCAAAATTAACATAATAGTTGTCTTTCTTTCTAAATAGTGCCCAAATACTTTTAACATTAATAGGCGTATAAGCTGCTGTAAATGTTGCACTTGAACTATCTGTATTCTTTGAGAATGAACCGTCCATAGGAATCCAATCCATAACTTTAACAGGAAAACATAAAGCCTCGTTTGTATAATGTTCTACAAGTTCTGTATAAATGTTAGGGTCTAAAGAGAATGACTTTGGATGAATGAAACATTCATTAAAATCCATCTTTGTTCGAAATAGTTGCTGGGTTACAGTTGTAATAGTAACTGTTCCACTAGCTTCTATTGCCTTCGTTATCATAGTGAATGGTTCATTCCATGGAACAAATTTATTTGTCGGTGGATTTGAATCTGAAGCAAATGCAACTTTAAGAGTTGGATTGAAAGCAATGATATCATTTACAGATATAGATGTGCATTGTAATGCGTCGCTACTGAACTTTACTTTAAGCTGAATGTTACCAGCAAATGCAGGAATAAATCTTATAGCTTCTAATGGTAAAAACTTTCTAACAGGAATTCTTAAACGAAGCTTAAAATCAAATGATTTTCCTGCTGTAATTGGACCACTAACAATTTGTCCTGTTCTGCATGTTCCCGAATGACTCCATACATCTTCATGTCGAGTCTTTGAGAAAACATCTACTTTCTTTATTTGTTCGGTAGTTTGTGAGTTTGAAGTTATATATGCTTCTTCTCGTGCGTTGTCTTGAGAATATACGATACGACCATTTGCAAGGATTTGATATCCAGCAACTGCATAGAAAGCGTCATCGAAACCAATCCAAAATCCTGGTGGGTTTGTTTTATTGGAACCTGAACCAATTTCTTTATCTGCAATAAATTGACCTTCCATTTTATACGTAATGAATGTATTGTAAAGGTCCAACATATTTTCACCAGGAGGTGAGAGATTGAATGTTACCCATGTGTTATCTTTAGCAGTTCCAGGTTGTGATGGAATCTTTGCGTCAGAATATTTTCTATTAGTGTCACCAATTTGAACTGCATTGTCTATGATATCGAAATATGAGCGAATCTGATGAATATGCTCTGCTGGAGTAAATTCGTTTAACTGTTCGTTCTGCATGTATTTACTTCGGATAAAAATATCTATTTACTTCATTATTCTCACTCTTCTTCTTGGCATTCGTGGTGGAAGTTGTTTCTTGACATTTTCAATGAACTGTACATTCTCTTTTGTCTCAACTTCTTTCACTGGTGGGTCAGGGTTCTTTGACTCGGTTTGCTTTTCAATGAAATTCACGAACTTTGCAATAAGCTCTTGGTTCGTTATTGAAAGAACATCTGGCTTCTTTTCTTCTTGTTCTATTGACTTTTCAGTTTGAATAGAAGGTTTTATATGGGCTTCGCCCTCGGTGCCATACACCTTAATGTTGTCGCTCTCTGCATTCGCTAATGGAACCTTTCTTTTTCTTACGTATATTTTACCATCTTTACTCTGACTTACATAATAGAAAGGATGTTGTATTCCTCTTGCGTCATTTAATATAATAGACTCTCGCTCTGATTTTGACAAGCTCATTTTACATCGGTTAAAGTTTTAATTTTATTTTTTATCTGCAGTCAAATGACTCAGACAAGTCATATGGACAAGACCCAAGGGGTCATAGATGTTGAAGCATTGAAGAAAGAAATTCGCGAGCAAATTTTATCCGAACTGAAGGAACAAAAACAAGAACAAAAGCCAGAGAGACCAAAGAGAAAACTTAGTGAAAAACAACTTGCTGCATTAGCTGCTGGAAGACAAAAGAACCCACGTTTGCTGGCGAAGAAAGCTAGAGAAGAAGCTGAAGCAAAAGCTAAAGAAGCTGAAGCAAAGAAAGAGTAAATGGTTTATTTTTATCCGAATTAAATGTATAGACAAATACCTTTATCTGTTGCGTTCAGTAGTGAAAACCCTGACGTCAAAATAAAGGGGAACAGAGTAACGTTTAAGTTTCCAACAGACTGGATTGTGAACATAAATGAAGAGAAGTACATTGGCATAACATCTATGTATATAACACGTGCATTTAGGAAAGTTGACTTTATACTTCAAGTCGAGATAGAAAATGACGAACAGTCTTTAAGTGTCCAAAACATTCACATATACAAATACTTTAAAGACGATACAACTTTACAAGAATGTATGATTTCCTTCAATGAAATGTTCGAGAAAAAGTTCAACATTGAAGTACAAACTTTACAGCCTTTACGTGAGTTTTTTGCACAACTGAAAGAAGAAGGTAGTCAGCCACAACTTATAGACTTTCATTATGAATTTAATGAAAATGAAGATGGAACACATGACTGTCAGTTTGTTATATATTCACCATTCAATGAAGTAGCTAAAGAGAAAGAAAATCCATTACGTATAAGATTTCAAATCTCTGAACCAAGTGATGATTTCAAGAATGTTTTCAATTATGATGCAATGCTTCCGAGGAAAAATGAATTTTCAAAGATTGTAACACCTGGCATTTGGGATAGAAAGCAAGCTATATTATATTCAAACTTAAGTAAGGGAGTTGAAAATGAGTTCATTGGTCATACAAGAACTTCACCACTTCCTAACCCTAAATACTATAAATTAACTGGCTTCAATCGTGAGTTTTGGATAGACATGTTCTCCACTCATGACCATAACTGCCCAGTGTTCTTACCTCCAGACCATAAGGACTGTCTCTACATTGAAGCACAACTCTTAAACTCTACCATCGCAGTATTGTAAAATCTACGCTAGCTTTATTTTTATCACGAATGACCTCATTTCTGACAAAAATAAATGACCTCATTCATGACCTCATTCATGACCTCATTGCTGACAAAAATAAATGACCTCAGAACTTCAACTTACGAATAAAGCTTGTTTTAGTCGTTATTGAGAAGTTAAACTTTTCAGCAAAGCAAGGACTAGAAGACTTACATAAGTCAAATCCAATCTCTTGACCGTCATAAAGTGCTTTATATAACTTCATAACACTGAACTCAGAGTCTTTGTCAAATTTTCCTTGCGGAACCATTAAACCTTTATCTTCATCATAGAAACACTGAACAGAGTCAGGAAACATTTCATTAGCGGTTAAAGCAATAACATCTTGCTTCACGCCTTTCATTCTGCAGTGAAATGCAACTTCATTTAAATCGTTAGTGAGTAAGTCTATGTAGGTCTTCTTTCCACAAAATATTGACTTGTATGCTAAACTTTGTTTTCCAGGTGTTATTTCTGCGAAGTCACTATGAAACTGACCAAGGTTTTTACCAATGAGAACTCTTCCATAACGTTTCTCAAACTCTTCAGCTAAACGAGGGATATCTTCATTGTAGAGATGCATACTGTCCGTATCGCTATAAAAGATGTCCATTCCTAAGTCTTCAGCAGTACAGAATACTTCACACATTATTCTCTTCGACATTGATAGAATATTACACCAAGTGGACAGAAGTTAAAGTGTCTGCAAATGCTTTTCGTTAGCTTGAAAATAGTTTTATCTGAACCATCCAAACCTTCGAACTTCACTATATGGTTGTAGTTTCTGATGGCATATCTTATAGCATCTTTGTCATCTACTATGGTTATTTTTGACTCAATAGGAGATAGAATAGTTTTGCCATAAATACTGTTCAGAATGAGCTTTATATTTTCTTGCAAAGGATTTCCTTCTTTCTTATACTTTAACCTTAACTCAAACAACTTCTTTACTTCATCTCTTATTCTAATATCTCTGTTTCCATCGTAATAGTATCCTTGCAACACTTCACATTTGACACCTTGATATTTTATGAGGTCTTGTAATGTTATATGGTCAACATACATTAAACAGCAAGTGTTTGAACTTCTGGGAACGTTAAGTTCTGGATTTAGTTCAGGGTCACAAACTATTAAAGGAAAGTGTCTATGTATTCCAATCTCTGTTATCTTAATGAGAACAAAGAAGCCAGACATAAACTTTTCACCAATGGGTTCCTTTTGGTCGTCATCGAATAAATGTCTCATGAGATACTCTGTGCTTACATCTCATCCTTCATAACCTTTGGAATTCCTTCTAAAGTATAAAGTCTTGCTATAGCTGATGGATATAATGAAACAGCGTCGAAGTCAGCAATGAGTTTCTTTTCGCTCTTTTGTTTCATGTTATCTGACAACATACATCTTCCACCTTGAATGCATCTCGAAATAAATTCTCTTGGTTTATTTGAGAGGTCATAAATTTCCATTCGGGAAGTACACTCTGTTCTCAAATAATTTGTTAGCAATGAACAAATACTAACGTAGTCATAAACGTTTAAATCAAACTCTTTCAATAAGTCATTGCGGAACTTTACAAAACCTTCTCTTAAAATTCTTACATCTTGTTTGCAATAAAATGTGCTATATTTTTCTAAGTCGAAGTGGTTTTCATCTATTCTGCAACCTTTGATGGAATCTATGTTTTTCATAAATGTATCTGCATCCTGGATAAACTTACATGCTTCAGAAATGACACCAGTTCTGTTGTCATTTGCTAACAAAGTACTGCTGTAGTAGTTATATGGAAATACTTCTTTCGGTCCTGTTTGTAAGTTAAACATAGCAGGAAATAGTTTAAGCTTCTTATTTATAACACTGTAAGAGTCTTTTATAATAATTGCCCTTCCTTTATATAAGCCAGTTATTTGCATTGTTCGTGAACCTTTAATGATGGGAGTTCCTTTCACTTCTGTCATGTGTCTTAAGATGAAGTTTATATCATAGCTGAGGTTATGGAAATATATTAAACTCTTGTCAGGAAGTCGTTCCAAAAATTCTGTTGCACAGTTCTGACCCCAAATGCTTTCACTCACTGAACCATCTTCACTGTCGTAACATATGTTAAAAGCTTTATGAAAGCCATCGGTACTACACTCAAAGTCAGCAAAGAAAACGTGCTCAGGAATGAACTTGCACTTATTTTTATTTACTTCTTTTGACTCTGCTTTCTTCTTCAGTTGTACACAATACTTTGGAGCATATGTCAAATCTTTAAATGGTGCAAGGTTCTGTTTATATAAGTCAGTCGTATATGTGAAAAGTTCTCCATAAGAAATAGGTTCGAAATATTTGCACTCCCACAATGTTTTCATAACATCCCATAGCGGTGTAGTTCTATCATAACGAACTACATATTTGTTCTCTCTCTTTGTATATATTTTCATCTGTTTCTCAATGTTCATTCCACCACACTCCTTCAAGATTTCTTTGTAATTTCTGACGAAGTATGTTGTCATTGGAAGTCTTTCGTTTAGCATGTAGTGGTCTTCAACAAGAAGTAGGTCAATAGTTCGAACAGTTTCACATTCTTTTGGTATGTATCTCTTTATTTCATTATATCTTGAGTCATTGAAGTAACCAATGGTAACATTAAATGCTATACCTGTTGCGTCAGAAATTTCTTGTACTTTACTTTGAGGAAAGTCTCTAACACGAATGACTTCTCTCATGTGGTCAATAGTTTCTTCATTTACTCCAGCCTGAATGCAAGCATAAACGAAACAATTGTCTTCTGTCATAAGTGTTGCAGTTCTTTTGTTCAGTTCATTGAAGATTTGGTAGCGTTCAAGATTTATAGGTAATGTGCAAAGATACTTCCAGAACTGACCGCTTCTCTTCTTATAAAACTTCTTTTCACCATTATCTTTCCAAAAGCTTTCTATAAGTGCTGGGTTTCCTGTTTGCTTAAGAGCTTCCAAAATGGCTTTCTGGTCATTTGTCAGTGTGCTTTCATCTCTATATGGTCTCTTTTTTGGTTTGCCTTTCTTTACATCTGACATCGTTAAGCCTTCATATTCTGTTAAATCATACATCTTTATTTCAGTAAGATTCTTTATGTTTGTCAAGAAGAAGTCATAGTGCATTTCAACAATACCTGCGGCATTTGCTTCTATCTCTGATATAAAGTTCTCCTTCAAGAGCTGATGTAGTAATGTTCCAATATTATTGAGGTTTAACGTAGAACATTCATACTTTCCACCAAGTTTATAACATACCATCCATCTCTGTTGTGAGTTTATTTTAATCTTCTCTAAGAGTCTCATGAAAACCTTACCGAAATGTTTGTGTAAATATTCTCTGTTTGGTTCATCTAAAGCTTCGATGTTAAAGTCAATGAGTCTATTGCCTGACTTCACATTTCTCTTCCTATTCTCTTCATCTTTCTTTAACCATCTCTCACCTTCTTTTGGTTTGTCGTCAATGGAACGAATGACATCGTTAGCTTTGCGAACTTGTTCTATAGCACTTTTAAACATCTCTCTTCTCTGTTGTTTCAGTGTGTCGTCTCTTCTTCTTGTTTCACCAACGTTTGCATTTGTTATGTCAAACATTTCTCTTCTTACTTCATGAGGTACTGAACGTCTATGATATAAGTCAATAGCAACGTCATTTAAAGGAAAAGTTCTTGCATGGACTTCGTCCTCGCCGCGTTGCGGCTTTATGAACTCATGAATTCTATCATAACTTATTGCACCATTATAGTCATTGAGGATGTCAGCGAGTGCTTTTTTGTTTGTCGCGTAATGTTTTGCAACATCTATGTTAGCTTCTGTAAGAAGTTGTTTTATTTCCGAGTGTTCTAACTTAGACAACTTCCGATACATCTTTAGTAGGAAATAAAAAAATATTTTTTGAAAAAATTAGATTAGATTTTTTTAAGTTATTTTTCAAAATAATTTAATATTTTTATTTTAATGAAACACATGCAAGATTGCAAGTTCTTTTCATACAATGCTCTCGCTACTGTCATCAAGAATGAGTTCAATGGTGCTTCAAACGTTAATGTTATCTTTAACAAGAAGTTTGTGAAAGAATCTAAGTTTGGTCAGTATGTCAGACCATTAGCTATGTCATTGACCGCAAACGTTATACTTCACAAGAGTTAGCAGTAGTTTTGAAACAAAAGGGTTTCTTCGTGAATGTCAAAGATACTCATTATACTGTCATAAAGAACTCTAACATTGACTTCTTCAGTATTGCTATGAATCTTTCCGAACAGAAAGAATATAAGAAGGGTGAAACAAATGTGAAATATTATCCTTCATCTCTGAAGACAATAACGAACAAAGATGTTATACAGAAATTCTTACCAAAGGTTGAAGAAGCTTCAATTGACATTGACGAAGGAAGTGAAATGGTTGAAGAAATTGACCCTGACGTTATTTGAACAAAAATATATTTTTGGTTAGTCTTCATATCGATATTTTACAACAATTCCCCAATGTATAAACTTTTCATACGCTTTTTCATAAGCTTTATATACCTTCAGAAATTTTGCATAATCTTTAGAAGCATTTAGATATTGTTTAAATGCTTTATATACCTTCAGAAATTTTGCATAATCTTTTACATGTTGTTCGTTCTCTTCTTCTGTCATGAGTTCCGAATATTCTAAATTCATGTTCTTTCATATGAGATAAAATTTTATAAAAAAATAAAATTAGCTTAGATTTTTTTATTCTTCCTCTTTGAAGTTATCGAAATATTCTGTTATTTTTTCCTTCAGTAATGGTAAGTCTTCTTTGAAGGTAAGAATTGTACAACCTTTAATATCATAGTGTGTTTGAGGAAGAGTACTTTTGACAATTTCCTTTATTTGCTCATTCGGTGTCATTGAAATCGGTAAGTTTTCACGATAGAACCAGTTTCTGTCAGATTTATATATTTTAGCGAGGTCATAAAAGCTCTTGTTGTTTCTTCTCACTAAATGCAACATAACCATATCTCTATCTTCTTCTTTCTCCATCTCTTCAGCGTAAATCATATACTTATAGCTTTTTTCCTTTCCTTTTGGTACTGAACGTGGTATTCTTTTCTGTATGCTTTTGTCTTTGGATTCAATGACTTCATCTTTTGCTTGAAGTTTCTTTTCCATCTCTCCACGTTCTGCTTTATATAGTTCATCTAACATCATGAAAATATAACAAGCATAACGAGGTGAAGCCCACATTGCTACAGCGTTTACTAAAAGTCTATGAACATAATAACCTTTCAAACCAGGTGCCAAATTCTTGCGATTTTCGTACGGAATCTCTTCTCTCGGTTTTCCGAGGGAAGCAATCATATGAGGAAATTCTTCTAAAAGTTCTTTTGTCTGTTGGTTTTCAAACCAATGATATGCTTGCTTTGTAGAACGAAGAGCATTCATTATACTTTGCATTTGGTACATGTCATCTTTGACTGAACGAATGAGACGTAACTGTTTGTTATACTGTATGTATTCGTATTCTTCATTTATAGCTTCATGGACTATAACTGTTGTTGTGTTCTCTGATGTTGTCATTACTGTCTTTACATACAAAATAAAAAAATAAATAAAAATAAAATTAGCGTTATTTTCTGACTTTCACAAAAGACCAAAAATAAACGCTTTACATGTATTTTTCAGCAACTTCGTCAAATAATTTTATAGCTTTATCTATCTCATCTACTTCAAACTTTTCAAGTAGTTCTGTTTCTGCAGCTCTCATATCATTAACGAACACAACCTTGACTCTATTGACTGTACTGTCATATCTTTGAGTTATATTATATGTTCTTCCTATCTTATATCTCTTTGTATTGAAGTCCTTCGGTTTCTGAACGATGTAAAGTAAGCCTTCACTGCAACGTTCAGTATCGAATGAACCATAAGTTATGAAGTTATATCCAACAACTGGGTCTAACCATAACAAAACTATTGGTATAAGACTTTTGTCTATAAGATATGCTCTTGTTCCATGAAATGCTACTGATATCATAAGCTCAGGATTTCTTGTCAAAATTTTCTGAGTTGAAGCATTTCTAACCCAGTCGTTTGTTTTCTTTCCAGATGGTGTTATAATGTCTGACAAAGAATATTTGTTGTATTTCTTTGAGTATCTTACGTTTAAATCACCTATTCTAACCACTTTGGTGTCATTGTCTATCTTTCTAACTGTTTCAAACTCAATGTTTGACATTACTGTCTTTACATACAAGATAAAAATTTTTCTTAGAAAAAAATTAGCGTTATTTTTCTATCTTAAGGAAATGTCAAAACTCATGAATTTTCGTGAATTTCCTTAAGATAGAAAAAATAATGTTTATGTTAGCATGTTAGATCTAACACGTTTTCTAACCACTTTTCTAACATCGAAGAAAACTATTTACAAGCGTTTTACATGGTATATGTTGCGATGGTTCATGACTTTAAACAGTTTTGTAGCTTCTATTTCTTCACGAAGGATATCAAAAATTTTAACTATGCCGAAGGTTTCTTTATATTTCTTCTTGACATCAGATAATAGGAAATCGTCAGCAGTTGGATAGTTTTTGTTCAGAAATGCTAACATGTCCATTTTATCTTCTGCTGGTTTCTCTACTTCTTTCTTTAAGTCAGCATAGTCGTTTCTCATACGTTCTATCTCTTTGACGGAGTAGTTATATTTCCTCATTGCTGCTTTACATTTTGAACATTGCGGATTCATTTTTGCGTTATACATTGAAATTTGACCTGCTATAACAACTAAGGCGTCAATGGTTTTCTTTAACTCAAAAGTTGTTGGTTTTATTTGTCCATTCCATATTTTACATCTTTTATCTTTATCTCTTATCTGCCATACACATTCAGCAACTAATGAAACAAAGTTGTCGTATGTCTTAAACTCCCCAGATTTATATATGTCAGAGATGTTCTTATATACCATGTCGCAATCTTTGTCCATAACTTTATGGTTGCAATGATATCCTAGAAACTCATAGTTTACTTTACGTATGAACTTCTTTATTTCTACTGAGTCAGTTGGTTTCACTTCTATTTCATCGAATTCATGAATAGTGAGCTTTTGTTGTTGGATTTCAGGCAATTTGGGTAAATGGTCAATAATATCCTGCATGTCATAAAGATACTGTTCATTTGTTTCATCTTTCGCACTACAGTCTAAATTACTTGTTAAAAGTTCTTGCTTAATTCTTTGTATTTCTGTCTCAAAAGTATATGAAGAAGGAATGAAGCTTTTCATCTCTACTAACATAGATGTTGGATTCATAACTAAAGAGTTTGGTGAAGTTGTTGTTTGAAGTGTTGTAGAACCTATTGTTGAAATCATATCTTTACATACAAGATAAAAATTTTTCTTAGAAAAAAATTAGCGTTATTTTTCTTTCATAAGGAAATGTCAAAAATTCATGATTTTCGAGAGTTTTAGACCATGTTAGAAAAGTGGTTAGAAAACGTGTTAGATCTAACATTCTAACATAAATAAAGTTTATGTTAAAATAAATGGTACCATTAATGATATCATGACTGTTCTCGTTCATGTCTGATTTACATCTAATGAAAAAGTTTAGAAGAATTTTCTTATTCTTTCTGGCTTATTTTTGTCTTTCCAGTACTCCCGCTCTAATGGTCCCAGATGTGTTGGCTTTGACTCTCTCAAGTTCTTAGATGGTATAACATCTTCAACGCCTCCTTCATATCTTACTTTATAAGTGTCATCGTTTATGTTATAGTTAAGTATTTCAATAACCACTCCTCGCTTTGCTTCGTCAATGGTTTCAGCAAGTTTGCCATTACTACTTTCGACTAATTTATGACGAGGATAAAACGCAATAGAGTCGTCAGCAGCTTTTATAAGATATCCATTACCTTGCGTAGAGTCTACGATATAATAATTTCGACTTAACCTTAAACGTTTCTTTGTCAACGGTTTGTCGTCAAGAACTACACGAACTTTTGTACCAGGAATGAGGGTAAATTGTGTTGAATTTCTGATATTTTGTGTTTGGCTTCGTTTCTTTTGTATATACTTTTCTTCTTGTTGTTGTGTCATTGAATTTGGTGTATGTCCTGTTGTAGAATTTGTTGAGGAATTATATACTTCGAGAAAATGTTTCATTGTTTCTTCGGTAAAGTCTCGCTCTTGATTTAAATCTCTGAGCGTTCTTATGAAGCGATTAATGATACCTAAAATATTATGGTTATGGTCTTCAGTAGTGTAGTGAGTTATGTTATGCTTAATGAGAAATTCTGTGATTTCGTTGCTGAGGTATGCACTGTCTTGGTCTGATGTTAAAGTACTTGGGTTATGTTCTGCTACAAACTTTTGTAAAACTCTTAACACTTCACGAGTTCCTTTATTTCTCATTATATACGCAAAAGCTTTGCGAGTGTTAACATTTATGAAGATGAGGAATGGTTTATGTCCTCCTTTTCTGCTTTGAATGAGAGTGTCAAATTGGTATGCGTGGAGTGTTGGAGTAAATTGGTAAAAAGTAGTCGTAAGGGTTTATTTTTGTTTGATGTACAACATTTTTGTCAAAGAACTTTTTAACTTCAGCTCTGTTAGTAAATCCCCAACTCTTTGCAGCTTCATTGAACTTCTTAAATGACCTCCATGGATGTTGTTCGAATACTTCTTTCAAGCTCATTTATGTAAAAATAAAGATTTTATTCTAGGCTCAAGCGAGTTCATTGAACGCGGTACCATGCGAATATAGTCACAAATGGTGGCATGTAATCTTACCCGAGCCTGTTGGATTTGTTGTGAAAGTGTGTGAATGATTTCCTGCGGTTCCACAGAAAATACCTGCGCTTGAATCTACTGGGTCACTTGAAATATCATATCTATGCATTCCCTGTCTATCCGAACCTGCTGCAAGATTTGTATAACCTCTTTTTGTTATTGAATGTGAATGACTACCTGTTGTGTTTGTAGTTCCTGTATGAGTGTGCGGTGGAAGGTTTGCTTCTTTAATTTTCTTCGAACCACCTGTTTGCTTTGAAGAGTTCGCACAATAGAGGAATTTATCTACAATCTGTTCCCACGTACCAAAACCTAAAACACTTGCCGGATTTGTTGAGTTCATTGACGTATAAATAGAGCCTATAGGATATATGGTTTCAAGAATCTGGGCCTTCATTGTTAGAAGTTCATGTTTAACGTTTATAGTTTTATTGCCTTCTACAATATTTATATTGTTTGTTATTAAACCATTAGGAAAAGTAGGAGGATAAATTCTTTGTTCTTGTACAGTTGCACCGTCTCTTCCTGTTTTTGTTACTATTTCGATGCATGCCTTAATTTCTTTAATCTTGATTGTTTGAAATTCTTCATGCACGTGCTCTTTATCGGCTTTTCCATTAAGCGCAGCATTTACTTCCGACTTCTTTGCATAATTTTCATCTACATAAGTTTTGTCGGCTTTCTTATCTAACATTGCTGGTAGTTCATGTGCTTCAAAGTTTCTGGCATGACCTTCAATATTCCTGCAACTGTTATCTAAATTGTTTAGTGTATCTTTTACGCTTGTACTTGGATTCTCTAAAGGTGCACTTGAACCAAGGGTATAGTTCAATATTATGTCGTCTGCTCTAACAGTAGTGAAGGATTTATGTGTATGGTTCTTGTCGGCTTTACTGTCTAATGTAGCTTGAAGTTCATTTATATCGGAGATGTTGTGTTTATGAGATTTCAAAACTTTGTTCGTTGCTTCAAGTTCAACTTTGTCAGCTTTACTTTTAATAGCATCTTCAAACGTTATTTTTGACTTAACTCTCAAAGTAAATCTTGGTTCAACTAATACACCGTTAACATTGAAAGTAGAGGCATAAATTTCACCGGTATAACCAAATGCTTCTGGTGCTTTAGCTACATCATACTGTACAGTACAGCTTATGTCATAACCTTTAGCACGAATGTATTTATATCTTCTTTCATTAACATTTTTTGTCTTCGCTTCATCACTTCGTGTTAAATATCCATGGTAGTTCGTTATAATCTGTTCGTCTGAAGTTATATAATGAACGTGGTTCTTGACTTTATCACTCAGAGCTAAAAGCTCATTTTTGTTTGCTTTTTCGGCTAATTTCTCATTAACATCATTCACTTCTAATTCAACTCTTCCGCCAGAACTCTTATTATCATTAATCTTTTTCATTAATTCGGTAATTACGTCATAAAGACTATATTCTGTTTTCGGTTTTGTAAATAATGAGTCAAAATTTCTTTTCATCATTACATCGCTGACATTAATGATATCACCAATTCCTTTTTCATTTATTCTCTTCATTAATTCTGCAATAATGACGAATATATAATCTGTTAATTTATTCTCTTCATCGAGGGTTATAGAATGTTTTGAAATTGAATCATTAACTCCTCTAAATAAATCAATAACTTCAGGATACACGTTTTTAATGTCTCGAATAACCCGACCAGTATCCTGTTGTTCATGTTCTTCGTTCCCGTCGTTACGTGGTTTTATATCTCTAACCATCATCAACGCAGCCATAACCGGAGGGTTTGTTGCTATCTGTTCGAAAATCCGTCCGTTATGTACGGTATATCTAAATAATTTCTTTGTGTTTGTTAAAACATTTGAAACAAGTCTTTTAAAACCATCTACAAAATTTCCTGTTTCACCTAATGTTCTTGCAGCATTTACAAGCTCACCCATTCCCGCTTTTGACCCCAAAAACGTCCATATTGCATTTATTTCACTCTGTATAGTTGTCCATTCAGCGAAACTAACACCCGCATTCGCTAAGCTGAAAATGAAATTCAGTGGATCGAACTTAATTCCACCTTCTTTTTCAATTTCAACGAACTCACTAACATGAGATTTTAAATATTCTTTCGTTAAAATTGTTTTCCCCGATGTTATGTCATTAACGAAACTATCACCGTCAAAAGTTAACGAATTCAATTTCGTCGTTGATGCTTTTATTTCATACACCGCTTTATCGATAGTTTTTGGCTCACCTTCTTTAGAAGCATATGAAACATTAATGAATGAATTATATGTATTCATGAATGAATTAAAATCAATGATTTTCATTAATGACGCCTTTAATGATTCATTTACTGTCGAATCCCTTAAAGTAATTAATGAACTGTCATTTATGAAAGGTACACTGCAAACCGTCGAGTTTGGATCAAATGCTATAGTTGGTGCAGGAATATTAATGATATAAGTCATTAAATCATTAAGTGACGTAAATAATGTTGTCGTTTTTGATTTAATTTCTTTAGCATCTGTTATATATGGTAATTTTATTTCTGTAGTTTCTGAATTAAAGATATTCGCTAAAATGTTTTGTAAACTGTTTTGAACAGCTGTGTAAACCGTTGAATCCGGAACTCTTACGATTTCACCATCCTTAATAAAAGGCATTGTACATGGCGTAGTGCTTGGGTCAAATCTTTCGGGATTATAATTCAACATATATTCTAACGCTTCATGAACAGACTTATATACTGTTGTGTCGTTCTTCATGACAACTTCACCATTTACAATGAATGGCATAGTGCATGGAGTTAAAATGGGGTCAAACTTTTCATAGTCCTTCCATGTTATGTATTTCTCGGTATTTCCATCACTGATAACAATATATTTGTCAGTAAGTGTGAGAGAGTATTGACCAAAATATAAACGTTTAGCTCTGTCAGCTTCATACGCATATGCAGCTATACTCATATTTTAATGAGAATAAAATGTTGTTCTATTTGCAAAGTACAGACCCAAACGAATACGGGACAGTAAAACTACAAACAAACTTAGGTCTACAGAATGAGCCACTTGCATTCAGAATGGTTGACTTTAATACTATTGCTTCATTCGTTATAACTGACGAAACAGATTTCATGGAGCTTGAAATAGATGGAAAGAAGCACGAAATAAGATTTCACAATAATGTAGAATATAAGATGGAAACATTAGCTGGAGTGTTAAATGCTCTCATAAATACTACAATAAACAAGGATAACGGAGAAAACTTAATGAATGTTAAACTTATTGCAGGAGTTTTGAAGTTCAGTTATGCGAAGAGTTTAAGATACCAAGAATGAGTCATAGAGTACAACTTCTTTTGGGAGCATACCATATGACATTTCCTTTGAAAAGTGTTGACAAAACGATTGAGATGAAATCTGTTCCATACGTATGTTATGGCAATTGTTTGTACATTGAGTCAAAAATAGCTAATGTCACAGGTATTTCAGGAGTTAATAGTAAAGGTTCAGTAGAATATAAATCCTTCTGTTATGAAGTAAATTCAATGTTCATTCCAAACGTTCCTGTCATAGCAACTCATTTAGGTAAATGGGTTCGCATTAGTCCTCATAATTTGAAAGACATGCAATTCAGACTTGTTGACTTTCAAGGAGAGCCTGTAGAACTGAAGGCACCAGTGCGAATGACTGTTGAAGTTGACTTTTTAGAAAATATTAAATGCAACAGCTTACAAGAGAACTCAGAGCTAAAAATATAAAGTATGAATGTTATGTATTAGGTCATGAACTTTGGTTGTTGCTGTTTGATGAAACAAATGAGTTAGTTATGTCAGTCAAGAGAACAGAAAAATATTGTGTTAGTGAAAACTGCACCAAGTCAATAAGATTAGGTTTGCATTATGAAGATGAGTTCGATACTGTTGAAGAAGTTTTGGATAGATATTACAAATTGCTTTAATTTACTAAAACATATTTCAAACAAAGCTTATAGTAAGTAGATAGTTTTGTATACTCGTTCGAATATTTATACTTAAACTCAACTCCTGGAGTACCTGGTGTTTCAATGATGCGGATGTTACCTATTTTCATGAATATTGGAGTTTGACCACAGCATTCGATTTCAGGGTCGAGATAGTCAATGACACATTGCTTTCCTGTTATTCGTGATATAATATTTTCAAGGTCCTCCTTTGTTAGAATTATTTGGTTCTTACTTATAAGATTTGTCAAAAGCTTCTTATCGTCTTTGAGTAAAATTGTTTGGTATAACTGAAGAAGGTAATGGTCTACGTTATCTGAAGGATTTGTTTGAACATTTGTGTAAGGGTTGTCGTTGGCTTCTCTTGAAAGAACTTGGTCCAGTGGTGGATACTCTAACTTAACATCTGATGTAGCGTTAGCGTTTGAAGTTGTGTTTAAATTCACCGACTTAAGATCTGGTTCTTTTTCTTTCAAACACTCCGAACTATAGTTCTTTATGACAATATTGTTTGTCGTTCGTGAGTCAACATTTGATGTTGGTTCAATTGGAACATTAACGGCACCAGCTAAGATGGATTTGCTTCTCATTTCATATAGAATAAAAACCTTTTATATGTATGAAATGAACAATATACTCGACAAGGGTTTGAATGTAAAGCTAACGAATGAAAATATTGTTGAATTCACTGAGACAGGAGCTGTGTATAAAGATGTAGAACTACTGAACAAAAGAGCAAAGGGAAGAAGCAGGAATATGAACAAAGGGTGGAAGCCTATAAAAATTTATGTCAATGATGGCTCAGGAGGTTCAAACATAAAGTATGCAGAAAGTTATAGAGTTTATGCTCTCAAAGGTGAAAAGCCTTCATTTAAGAACAGCTATTCTAACGCATATCCTCAAAAGCTAACGGATGGGGAAGTGGATGATATGAATGACAGCAAAAATATTAACAGAAATGGCGACAGAGATGCATGGAATTTGTTTACCATCAGTCAATTAAAGTTAAGATTTAAAACAATGTTGGTCGTTCCCATGGAATATTTTTGACTTTAATGGTATTAGTCATGATATGAATCTCAAGGTATGAACGAGGAGAGATGAGAGACTTATATGCTTCCCAAATTTCTTCAAAAGGTAATGTTATACCTGACTGTTTCCAAATGAGTTCAATATCATAGCGTGAGAAACCTTGAAAGATAACGAAGTCAGTTATGAGACGTTTTATGTTTAAAGCAAGGAAACGCCATGTTTGCATAAGTATTGCTACAGTTAAATGGTAATGTCTGACTTTAGTTATGATGTTAGCTAATGGTGAGTCAGGCTTTGACACTAAACCTTTTCCGGCGAAGTCGTCACAAACGAGCAGAGTGTTTGAAGGATACTTTTTGAAGGGGTATTTTGAAAGTTTTGATAGAATGTAGTTTGTCAGTCGTTTCATATCGTAAACTCCTGAGTACTGACGTAAGTGGTGTTTGTCAATAATTCTTTCCATCTCTTCTGAAGTCTTTTGCATTCCTGACTGTATGAACTCTACAATAGCATAATATTTTCTCTTACGTCGAATGTAACGTTGAAGAAATTCAATGAGTTCGCTATCTGGAACTTTAACGACAGATGCTTGAACTTTACTCATGAATGTTTTCGCTGTTGAATCCATAGAGTCTGAAGTTGCTGATATAATGATTTGGTCATAGTAAGAGTCGTTTCCTAAACGCTCTGTTATGAGTATATGACGAATGAGGTTAAATGTCTTACCTGAACCCATCTTTCCACAATAGAAATACACACCATTTGAACAGAATTCATAATCTTTGCTGAAAGGAAGAATAAGAGAAGAGTTAAGTTTGTCTGTAGTTTCATTCATGTCTTCATCTACGTCATGTATTAAATGCTTCATTTTATCTCCATTAAAAATGCAAGTCAGAAATATTCAGAACATAGCACCGAGTCTAACTGACAAGAGTATAAAGATATACTATGAACACGTTATGATGAAACCAACCAAAATTCAAGAAAGTCAGTATACTTATGAATATCCAAGACACTGGGTAGAGTATGTAGGAGGTGAGAAAGCTATTGAAATAAGACAAGTTAGAAGTATTCCAGCAGGAAGGACAATATTATTGAAGAACTTTAATGTTTTGAGATATAATGATGAAACAAAGAAGCAAGATAGTTTCCCTGTTGCTGTGTATGTGAACTTAGATACAGGAGATGACATGAAAGTTTTTAACACAAAGCTTCAAATGGTATTGAAAGAACAACTTATAGCAGAAGGACCCATTACCTTCAGAAGTTACCATAGCATATAATTTTGAAACAAATGCAATAGATTTTAAAAGCCTCTGCAAAGAAGTCAGGTTTTACATTTAATGAAGCAGATGTATATTCGAATGAAAACTTCAAAGCTATTGCATGGTTAGATAATGACGATTGCTTTAAGAAAATATTTAAATTCAGTGACTCAAAGATGTCAATAGATGACCTTCGTGGAATGTTACCATCGACGTTTACAGTTGAAGGCTCAGCAGGATTGCTTACAAGATTGTCAATTGGTGGCGTTTGGTCTCGTGAGAACATTGTTATAAAATCCAGTATAAGTGAATTTGCTGAAGAATCTATATTATGTCTTTCAAACTACATGTATTCGCCACCGAAGCATTATAGTATAACAAACTTTGTCAGTAAGTTTAACATAAGACTTGTCGAACCTTCTTCAATGAAAGATGTTGTGCTACCTAAAGATGGAAAGGATGGACTCATTATTGAGATGATTTTAATTGCATATTAAATGAGCTTGTTCTTAAAGGTCGTTCATGATGAAATAACTGTTGTAGAAGATGTTAGCAATTGTTCAGACATTTTGAAGCGAATAGATGAGATAAGAAAGAAGTTAGATAGACCGCAAAGCGGTGAGGGTGAAGCCCGTGAGAATGTTTATGTTTCATTGACTTTCTCCAGTAACGAGAACTTTTATGAGATAATATTGAAGAGAGATGATTTTAATATGGGGTAAATGGTAGCTTGGGCAGCTTTAGGCGCAATGGGAACAAAAGCATTAGCATTTGGAGCAAAAGCACTTGGAGCTTATGACGCAGTAAATAAAATGAGTGGAGGAAGGGTTTCAAAGACATTAGATGCAAATAAAGGAAGATTGGAGGCTGGGTTGCAAAGAAGTTAAGATTAAATAAAATAGGGCTCATAAATAAAGCATCCAATTTGGTTGCGACTGAGTCAGAAAATGCTTTAGGAAAGGACGATGAGTTTGCAAAACACGCAAAAGACTTTAATGACCAGATGAAAGGTGAAACAATGCATTTAAATAGAGTCGATGGAACTAAAGAAAATGTTTCTTCTCCACCAGCGGTTTATCCATACGGACCTTATGGAATGTATGGAAACCCTTATGAACGACCATTTGACCCATTGACTGGTGGAAGTAACTGGTATCATTATGGACGAAGAAGAAAGACAGTCAAGTTGGAGACAGACGTGAAGAAAGCAACTAAAAAGAAACCAAGGAAGAGAGTTATAAGCAATGAATTCAACAGGGTAGAAATGAGGTTAGAAATCGGGTTAGAAATCGGGTTAGATCTCACCACTTCACCTAAATTTATTTTTGTGCTATGTTTTCATACGTGTGAGAGTGGTGATATCATTTATTTTTTATTTTATTTTTTAAAATTATTTTTATTTTATTTGGATGTAATGACAGAACAAAGCAACTCATACAAATCAAAACATATAACAAACATACATTTAAACATTTATTCTTCCTTCCTGAGCATAACATGTTCTTTCAAATACATCCGAGACCAGTTGACTTTTCATTGACTGTTTATAAAGATAGAAATAGTTATATCATTAAACCATACGATGACGAAGGTAAGTTATGTAAATTGTACGTTAAGAAGTTAGAGAAAGTTTATGGCTTCAAGTATGACTACAATAGGGTTAACACTGATGATGAAGATATTGAGGAAAATTTATGAGAACATTAGTGAAGTTGTTAGTGAGAACGATAGTGAGGTGAAATTGTTGGCGGCTTTGTAAATATTTAAGGTTAAGTTAGTTTTTGCGTTCATGTTGTAAAATATACGTTAACGGTTTTGTAAAGTGTCAAATTCACAAGTATTGGGTAAGGTGGAACGCAGTGCCACCATACCCAAGACTTGTATACTAACTTTACCAATATTTTTGACACCGTTCCATACTCCTCTTCCGACAGATTTTATTCTATTCCATATACCTCTTCCAACATTTCGAAAGAAGTTTCCTATCTTACTGAAGAAACCCATTTTACTATATGTAAAAATCTAATGTCCGCCTAGTCTCTTACGTTTCCTGTTGAGTTCCATAGCATTCTTTAACTGGAGCTCATACATTCTGTTTCTCCTCTGGTAGAAAACATATTCTGGGTCAACTCCTGTGTTCGCGTCATCTGCATAAAGTTGTTTATATCCCACTTCAGGGTTTGTATAAAACTCTTTCCATCTCATATTTGCATACCATGGTGGCAAACCTAACGCAGCGTCATTTGACATGGCAGTTTGCATTTGTACATCTGTTGGCACTTGACCATAGTTTGCCAATGCAGTTTGTATTCTAACTTCATTTGGAATATTCTCTGGGTTATGTGCTCCAAGCTGTGCAACACTTGGTTGACCTTGCGCATCTACTCCTTGCATTTTAATATTAGATAAAAATATATCTTACGAGTACATATGCTGAACATTTGCAGGCATTGGTTCATCTTCATATTCTCTGTACTTTTCTGCCACGTCAAATAAATAAATTACACAATGGAAAAATCCTAAAACTAACAATCCGATTTCAAACCACATTTACTTACTAATAAAATTTCTTTATTGTGACACTTTCTCCAGTTTATAGGACCTCTCTCATATTCTATCTTGTCATATATAAACTCATAGTCATGTATGTCCTCTAACCATCTCATAACGGTTTCCAAACCACTTTTATCGGATGTAAAGTAAAAGCATGGATGGTTATGTATAACGTCTAAAGTTTCTAAAGAGTCTCTCAAAGTCCAGTCTACTTGGTATTGAAAATCCCATGTGTTATAGAACGGCGGGTCCACTATAAAGAAAACATTTTCCTTGTCTTTATATTTTTCATACAACTCTGTCCAATGACATCTCACAAACTCTATACCCTCAATATATTTTTCTATGTCCTCTTTGAAAACATTTGTATAGTTAAGATATAAAACTTTTGACATAAGTGTTTCAATGTCATGAACTCTTATAGCACCACTATATAATAGTCTAGCAGATATACTATCCCAGTCTATATATTCTGCTTTTTTTCAAAACCTCTCTCACAATATTTTTCTTATCTAATGGTATACGTTCCATCTTACCTATAGGTATCTTTTCTTTTAACTCTTTCAATATATTGTTTGTGTCTGGAATATGTTTGAGACGGTTCATATAGTTGTCGAAGTCATTGCATATAATCTTTGAGTCAGGAAATACGGTATGACATAAATGGGATATATAGAAACTTCCACCGAACAAATCTACAAATGTTAGACCATTCGGTAGTTTCTTAAGTTCTCTCAATATAATATCTTTACATCTACTCTTATTTCCAAAGAACGGTAACGGCGGTTTTGTAAAATTCATTTATATATAATAATAAAAATGTTTTTACCCGAAAAGTGACAGAAAAGTGACAAAACATAAAAACATATATAATTTGTGAAAAGTGACACAAAAAGTGACATTTAAAAAGTGACACCATTAATATGATGTAAATAACAACGGTTTTGGTTTTGTCACCGGCTGGTCGGCTGGGGTTCGGTCCTCCTCTTGGGTCTTGGGCAAAATTTCTTATGAGCTAGAGGGCGCAACGCGCTTGGAAGCCCCACCTACCTGACCTAAAGTATTCAACTATTTCTATTCTCAATTAGAATTTTTACATAAAGTGAAAAATAACAAAATTCTATCAACATATCTAAAAATATTCCGAAGGTATTGATCAGTACGCATTAAAAATTATTTAATAAACTGTTTCAACAATAGAACTTATGCATCTTATGACTTTTCCTAACTACAAATCCACAATTTCTGAAAGAAATTTAAACAAGTCACCTAATTTGCCGCCTAGCCCCCTACAAGTGAGTAATATTTATTTTAATCGTTGTGATAGGTTTTCTAAATTAAAATATTTTAAGTTACGTTTTATTCTCAAAAATAAAAAATAATTCAATTTCCACTAGAACAACAATAGAATTCAATTGAAATAATATAAAATTTTTATGACCGATCTATCTTCCAATGTAAAAGATAGGCACTATAGAATAATTAAGATGTAAATCTTAATTGTCAATAAAAATTGAGAGAATGTCAGAACGTGGTAAATGCCCTCTTAGGATTTCAATCCCAATATCCTAAGGTCAAAAGTTAATATTTTTGGTTAGGAGAAAACAGATAACTATAGTACTTATTATGGCTGCTATACTTTTCTTCTCTTAAAATAAAGATATATTTATTTTTTCATAGCATGTCAGTAAGTGGTAAGTCAAAAATTAAAAAAAATTTACGATTCTAGGGTTGAAGATAATGAATTAGTTGAAATATATTCTTGCATTTTGTTCTTGAGAAAATCGATATCAATAGAATTATATTGTAAAAATTCGGCAAATTTGACTCGAAATGTTGAATCAGTATTATTTTTGGCAATCTTTAAACCTTCAATTAATGAAATTGTGGCTGAATTTAGTTCATCTTCTTCAAAATATTGTAAGGATCGAGGAAGAACTATTAAATTCATTGGATATCTAGTAATATATTTTGCTAATGTGAATACTGCGAGCCCAATATGTGATGGTTTCATATAAGCATGTGATGGCGAGAAAACAGATGCATGTATTAGCATTTTTGCACAATCATTGAAGTTTGAATCTGATGGAATTTGGCTAAGGAATGCTGATGTAAAATTATCTGCAGTTGGATCAATAATATCATAGTTACATGCTTGCAAAAGCTCTTTTTCAAAAAGACAAAATTGATTAGATGTGTATTCATAATTACAAAGGTTAACAAAATCTTCAACAGATGGTGTTTGCGTTTCATGTAACTTTGATGCAAGCCATACTGCGCTTGCTCCATAAAATTGCAAGGAGTTTATATTAACTTGAATCTTCAGTAGAATTTTTTCGATAATTGAGACGGCTGAGAAGAAAGTTTCATCAACAAAGCCAAATTCATAGCAAATCCATAACATCCAATCAATTAGAGCAGCTCTATTTTCTTTTGAAATTATGGTAGTTTTTGGGGCTTTCCTTCCAATCTCTATGTTTTGCAAAAAGTTGCATATTTGATCAGAGTATTCTCTTCCGTTATCAATAGGCGGATTGTAATTTGAAAAATAATATCTATCAAATGAATCTGTCGATATGTTTGAATAATCAGGGCTTTCAGTTGGAATATATGAACTTCTAAACGGATTTAAATAGTCTTGAGCACTTTCTTTTGAATAGTTGCATGATCCCGGGATCCTGTTGGGCAGCAAAAGCTCACACATGATTGATAACCGTTTAAATTTTTCCTATATAAATAAACGGTCACTCAACATCGACCAACATCTCAAAGCACGAAAATTAATTATATAACATATAAATGTATCTAATTTTATAAAAATCCAGTAGAATAGGAATCTTGATTTTATAAAATTCCAATTCTCTATATGATATGGGAATTTCGATTTGATTTGGAGTGGAACTAAGTAGTCTAATAAAAATAATTCATCAAGTTTCTGGTAGTACTATCATAACAATTCTGATACTATTTGCTCAATTTTCTATGTCGTTTTCAATTCTCAATGTGTATTTTTTTTAATGACATCTCTTTACTATGTCGATAATATTAATGTTCCAAATATTGGAGAAGTTATTCACAACTATCAACTCGAGAAAGTTTTAGATAATACAAAAAACTCAGTGGTGTATATAGCAAAAAATAAAAAAACTAACGAGCAATTTGCTTTAAAGCTAATTAAGCACCGTGAAAGAATAACAGATAGAGTCAATACAGAAGCAGATCTTATGTCAAATTGTAAATGTCCATTTATTATTCAAGCTAAAGAAATTTTTGATTACCCTCCCTACAAATGTCTTGTCATGCCATTGGCCATGGCAGATATGAAAAATATTCTTAATAATTCTCAAAATCATCAATTGGACGAAGATCTTGTTAAAGAAGTTATTCGCTCAGCTCTTTTAGCACTTAAGTATTTGCACGAAAATCAAATTTGCCATCGGGATATTAAACCAGAGAATATTCTTTTCCTTGGCAAATCGGAAAATGAATTTCTTCAACTCACTGATTTTGGCTTTGCAACAAAAGTACAAGAAAATGAACTCTGCAATGAATACGTGGGAACACTTAATTATGCTGCTCCTGAAATTATTTCTGGCATTCCTTACAATAAATCAATTGATATATGGTCTCTTGGTGTTTCAATGTATATGCTATTGAGTGGCAGTAGCCATTTCCCCATAAATCCTGAGAGTACTCTTTGAAGATGCATTTTAACTGGTGCTTATCTTTTCCCTGCATCAAAATGGAGATCCATATCTAAAGACGCAAAAGATCTAATAAGTCACATGATAAAAGTTGATCCTGCTCAGAGATTTACAGTTCAACAATGTTTAGAACATTCTTGGTTCAAGTACATTACCCATTCAAAGAGTTGGACTAATATTCATTTAGCACCTAATTCAACTTAATTGTTCTCATGGTTAGCATGATTAATTAATCAATTACTTATGAATTCATTCCTAATCTTGTATATTTTTATTTTGTATTTTTTTGTAAAAAGTGACATTATGAAACATACTTTTGGAGAACTTTTTAATACCCCACTTTTTAATACTAAAGTGTCAATATACAATCTTAATATAGATATCAATGTTGATCAAAAAATCTTACTCATATCAGATTGTCATATTCAAGATATCCCTTTATTTAAAGCTGAACTTAAAAACCTTATAAACAAAGAACAACCAACCATTTTACTTGTTTTAGGTGATTTAGTAAACGGAAGTTGGCCGAAAGGTCCTGCTGTATTACAAGATTTGATGTTTGAATTCCAAAATTATTCAATTCCTACGTATATAATAGGTGGTAATCATGACAGAGCATATGTTGATGTCAATCAATCAATTCAAGGAGTTACATTAATTAAAGATACTGCCATACTTTTGAAAATTCATCAACAGCAAGCCAATCTTCTAAAAATTTATTTTGCTCATGACTTGCTTAATAATTTTCGTGTTCGAGATAAACATGCGTTTTCCTTTTTCGATTGGATTAAAAGCGGCGCCGAAAAAATCAATAGTGAAGATTGGCTTATATGTGGACATGCTCACACAAGTCTTCTTTCCAATTCGATTCGATGTGCATGTATAGGTCAGTATTCTCCAGAAAATAACATACGTTGCTATTCAATTCTAGAAATTATTAACAAAAATGCGAAATTATCCGAAAAAGTGATGATAACATAACACATTTATTTTTTTCAAATTGTATTACCAATATCATTTTTTAGACCGACCACTTTCATCCTTACAGTAATTCATATAACAACCGAAAATTGCTTTCCCCAGGAAATTCATCGAGATTATTATCTCAATTTTTTTTTCTCTACCAAATCTTGAGACAGAATATCGAGAACTCATACTATGATATACTTTAAGAAATTGCTTTGATATTTATATAAGGGCCAATTATTAATATAATCTTATAACGAAAAGAAAAAATAAAATAAACCAAATTTACTTTAACAACTCATTTAGTTTCAAATAATTTGTTTGCTTAATAAGTTTTATGAGTCAAAATTCATATTACTTTATAATTTTGTGAATAATTATTGAATCTTATAGAACTTTTTTATGGAACTTGTTTATCTGACGTAATTTGATAGAAGTGCAATCGGAAGCATGGTTTTAGGAAAAAGATAAATTGGCATGAATAATTTTTAGACAAATGATTATGTAAATTGATATCGTTAATTGGATTTCAATGTGCAGGTAGTGCTCTTTTTATGATAAGAAACAATCAGAAATCAAAAACTCACCGATGAAAAAATGTGACATCATATTAGAAACAATATGGAAGACCGAGCTAAAGAATACATCAAGGAGGCACAGAAGAAGTTAAACAAATTTTTCTCAACTGAAGCAAGCAAGAATGAGCAGGCAGCTCCATTATTTAATCTTGCCGGCAATTCATTTAAAGCAGCACGACTTTTCCAAGAAGCCGGTGAAGCTTATGAAAAATCAGCCGAATGCTACGAAAGAGCTCGCGATGTAAGCAGTTCAACTAACGAACTTCAAAATGCTGCAAAAGCTTATGCAAAGGCTCAGAATTTTTCAAAAGCCATTGACATGTTCATTAGGGCTGCAAACTTTTATAGAGAAAGTAACAAAACATCTCAGGCTGCAAAACTTCTTGTTGAAGCTTCTAAGGTCTTCTTAGAAGATGAAAATCAAGATCAAGCTGTTCAAGTCCTTGAAGAAGCAGTTCAGATATATGAAGATGAGAACCAACCTTCCTCAGCTTGTCAGCATATTACTACTATTGCAGATATCAAGAGTGGACAGAAGAATTATGTTGATGCATCCAAATTATACAGAAAGGTTGCCGAAATCCGTCTTGCAGATCGCTTAACACAACTTGCTGCCACGGAGTACATGGAAAAGGCAACACTTTGTCAACTTGCTGCCGGCGATCTTATTGGTGCTGAAAAAATGTGCGATGAGTTTGTCAATGCAGCTCCTCAATTTGATTCTACCCGCGAATACAAGCTTCTCAAAGCACTCTTTGAAGCATTTAGAAATCACGATAATCAAGCTCGCGCCACTGCCGTTGCAGAGTATGATTCAATTAAACGCCTTGATAAGTGGCACATAGAAGTTCATACAGATATCATGAATATTATCCAAGGCAACACAGGTGATGAAGAAGAAGAAAATGGCTTATTATAAGAATTTTTATTTCAAAATTTGATAAATTTAATATTTAATTTTCTTCATTAGATGATTATTTTAGAAAAGTCCACAATATTTTTTTTTGATAAAAGAATTCTGATTTGAATTAGACAAGTCTAATGTATTCCATAGATTTGCGAATATATTAATTCATTATTAACAAATCAAGAATACTATTTAAATCGAAAAAAAAAAACAATCGACCAAATTATTGTATATAGAATCTTTTATTTAATAAATGACGATTGGCTCATTTGGATCAGAGCACTGTTCAATTCTTGGATCAAGACCGAAAACTTGGGCAATGATGAGTTGGAAAAGTTTCTTAACATTAATGGAATGGGTATTTGAGCAGTACATTAAAGGAGCACCAATAGCTTGAGCAAATTTCTTAGCTTTGTTTGTGATTGCGATTTTTTCTTCTTCAGTTTGTTCAAAGTATAAATCGAACTTGTTTCCGACAAGGAATACACGAGCCGATGGGTTGCAATCATAAGCGCTCTTATACCAATCACGCAAGGCTGTTAAAGAAGTAATGTTTGAAAGATCAAACATGAAAATAAGAACATGTGCACCATCACAGCAGACAGGGAGCATATCCATGAATGATTTCTGTCCACCGATATCCCATATTACGATATTTACAGGGGTATTCTTTACAGTGATTTGACGTTCAAGGAATTGAACACCAAGAGTTGCAATGTAATCTTCGCTGAAAGTACCTTTGCAGTACTTAACCATAAGTGTGGTTTTTCCAACCATCGAAGAGCCGATAAGTGCAATCTTCACAGTAATTGCTGACTCGGTCATTAATTTTAAACCTACTTTACAAATATTCTCAAAAATTACTGATACTTTATCTATATATTTTCATAGCAAAAATAGAATGTTTAAAGAGTCAATATGATTTCCTAGAATATTTATTGAGAAAACATTTGAAACCATATAAAATGTTAAAAAGTGACATCACAAAATTGAGAATAATATCACTATCAGCTTATTATACGGGTATTATACTGACTATGAAATTAAAATAATTTCCGAAAATGACGATAATAAATTTTTAGGGGCTATCAGAAGTGGTTCCACACTGGATATTGGGTGTTAATGACTAACTGAAACCGTGATTAAATCGAGAATTAAGATAAGTTGAATGGATATCATTATCTAATTTCGATGATAGTATAATATTATTAGTATTTAGAGTATAAATCATTCTATACTCTCCATATCACAATATTTTTGATCTATATTCACAATAATGCTTAATATTTGGAGTTTTCAATTGCTAATACTATTAAATAAATAGGATTTTTCGTATTAAAGATTATTCACATGTATACTTGCTCAAAGTTTTCCAAAACGTATTGCAGAATATCGCTTTTCCAAATACAATTCGTGAGTATTAGATTAGAGTAGTATATGTTGAAGGGTTGTGTGACTTTTTTTGTAAACGTAAGAATTCATACAATATTGAACGATTTTGTATCATTTTTTTTAACATATGAAGTAAAAAATGTATGATTCTTACGGTTTTTATTCTTACGTTTTTGAATAAATCAAGATTTAAAAAATTGACTTCTTACGTAAAATTAAAACTAAGTTAAATTTATTTTTTTTATTTTTTATTTTATAATAAATGAGTATAACAACTAATTCATTGAAATCTTTAAAGTTCACTAATTCAGAATTAGAAAATATTTTAGAAAATTTTGGAGACGGTTCTTATCCAACATATATGCAGAATGTGAAAGAGTTTTCCAGATTGTTGAATGAATTTAAATATAACGGACCAATTACTAAAAAGGCTATAATGAGATATTTATATCCCAAAAAAGTTGAAAAACAGGAGAATATTCCTCTTTATGGTCCAGAGGACCTGGGCTCAGAGAGCCTTGAAACACCTCCTGAATATTTTGAAGAAAAAATTAAACAAGATGAATATTATAACGATGAGATTGAGAAATTGGAACAATTAAGAAATGAAATAGATGAAAGAATTAGTGAATTGAGAAATGCTGAGAATGAAGTAGAGGGTTTAATGAATATCCCAGCTTCAGAATCAGCAGTTCAGAAATCTCATGAAGAAAGATATAAAAATTATGTCTCAGAATCAACACAAAATTTATTAGATGGCGAAATAGATGAAACACTTTCAGAAGAAGGCACAAAATTTATTCATAAACATAAGCTTCAGTTTATTGACGATGGAGATTATCCATGTATATTACTTTCACCTCCTCTTGATTCTGAAAAATTCAAAAAAGCACTGAAAAATGTAACATATGCAACTAATACGATTAAGAAAGAAGACCATGATATTTACACAAATTATTATTTAAATAAATGTACAGGTGTTGATAAAGTTTTTGATTTGTTAGATAAAATATCAAAAGAAACAATTGGTACATATAAAATTTTATGCGATTGTGGTTTCATTATTGAAGATACCAATAATGTTTCATATGAAAGAACAGCACCGAAGGAAGACGAAGTTGAAAGGTCTATACCATTCGTTATTAAGAACATAAAAGATATGAAAACTTATAAACATTATATTTATTCATTTATTTCAGAAAAAATGGAAGCAACCCATAAAACATCTTCTCATCATTTTATAGCTATTCATACATTCCTTTTCAAAGTTGTGAAATTAAATAAGACAGGAATTAGATTTAATGTATCAGGGTACGCATTCTTGAGTAAATTAAAATGTATTCGTCACGTCGCAGATGATAAAAATTTATGTGTTCTTAATTCATTTTATGGACTTTAGCCCTGGACTCTCTGAGTCTCGGACTTTAAAAAAAATAAACTTTATTTTTATTTATTTTTTAATTTTTATTCTTACATAAATGAACAAAAATGGAACAGCTAAAATGAATGATAATCAAATAAGAGCAGAAGGTAGAAGGTTATTTAAACGCTTCTATAACATTCCTGATGGTGTTAATCCTAAAACTCGTAGAAGTTATTTAAATGAAGCCATAGATGCATATGAAGGATTTGACATTTCATCAGAAAGTGAGAGGTTAGCAAGAATGTTAAACGTTAATATTGATTTTTATTATTGTGACCCTCAACCAGAAGACGTAGACATTAACAAGGTAGACTTTCCATTAGTGGAATCAATAATGATAGATCCAGAATTTGAAACAGTAAATATTTTATTAACACAGAGTCCATGTGGAAAACTTCACGCTGACAGAATTACAGACGTTGAAGCACTCACAGGATATAAAGTTTGCCCCTTTTGCAAAGAAGAAGTATATTCTATCCGTGATGATCCAGAAAGGAAAAACCAAAGAAGATTTTTAAAACATTGTGAGAAATGTAAAGAAAATAATGGAAGATTAATTCAAGACGTTCAATTGCAAAACACACAACAACCATATGCACCACATATCACGAAACAGAAGATATATCAATGGCTATTAGCACATAATTTGCAGGAATATTATAAACCAACAAGATATTATATTACTTTTGACTTCGAAACATTAGAGACTAAAGAAGAACTTCAACTTTCTGAATGTGCAACTTTGAACGCTTACTTAAAACCATTTATGGTATCATCAACTGTCAAAATAAAGCCGCAAAGCGGCGAGGTCGTAGACCGTGATAAAACATTTACGAGGAATTTTTGCTTAACATCAAGTGATTCGTTCATCTCTGATTGGATTGAATTTTTATTTTCAACCTGTTCATTAGTTGCTAAATCAAATATTGAACAATATGAAGAATTAATGAATACATTAAATGAGAAACAAAAGGAAGCAATGAAAGAGCTTTTAGATGAAGAATTTAATAAAGTGAATATCATTGGTTTTAATTCGGGAAAGTTTGATTTAAATTTAATTCTTCGTGATTTAAACACTGCAAAATGGAAAATAAAATCAATGCTTAGATAACGCAAAATACTGGTATTTGGTTTTCATTTATGATTTTATGTATAAATGCTTGAATGTTAATCGTTTTCATTTCATTGAAGGTGATACTGATTCATCTTATTGGGCAATCGCTGGCGACCCAAATCTTCCTAACACTCAAGCATTTCAAGCAATTGTTACCGATAAACAATTTTATGATAAAAACATTTTCAAATTCGCACCTTTTGATTTCTTTTGTTTTGATGAGAAATTTAAACCTAAATTAAAGAATAAAGCTGAAGAAAAAGCACATGAGAAGAAGTTATTGGGTTTAGCAATTGAGAAACAAGGTGATAACATGGTTGCTTTATGTCCTAAGTGTTATACATCATTCAACGGTTCAATTGATGGAAGTGATTTTAAAAAGATTGCACAAAAAATGAAAGGTGTTAGTTTACGACAAAATAAACAATTAACACCTAAAAATTATTTGGATATAATAAATGATAAAGTGATATTTGATGGTCAAAATATTAATTTACAACTTAAAAATGGGTCAATGACTCGCTTAACAATTGGTAAGACTGCATTAACAGGAGCACACACTAAGGCTGTATGTTGTGAAAATGGATGTTGTATGCCATTTATTTAATACAATTTAAAATTTTATTCTTAATGAAATGCCACAGAAGAGACAAAAGGAACCGTTAATGATGGCTTTGATACTATGATTCAAAGAGGTGGGCACCCTTAAAACATTGATTTTATTTTTATATAAATGAATAGCGTAGATTTAAAAATTTTAATTGATGATTTAGTACTTAATCAAAATTTTCTTAGTTATTACGATTTAAAATCATATCTCCAAAAACATGATAAAAATATAACGGGTGATGATATGGAATATTATTATCCATATTATAAAAATGAAATTTTGAAATATCATGATAAAATAATTTCTGAAATTAAAGACAAAATTAAAAATAATGAATATTCAAAGGGAAAAACTAAATCACAGCTTAAACAGTTGAAAGATTTCAAAAATAAAGTATTAACAGAAGAAGATATTGATGAATTATATAATTTATATAATCCTGAGCCGCAAAAGCCGAAGGAACAAAAACCAAAGCCGCAAAACACCCAGGTCCTTCAGACCATAAATGATGCACAAGCTTTAATTTATGATTCATTAGTTAAACCATATTCAGCCCGACTTTTAAATGAAGATCAACTTTTGGAATTCATCCTTCAACATAAACTCGAAGCGGGAAAGTATATCAAACCTTTATATACAGCATATTTAAAACAAATGAATAGAATACATCCAGAATTAATGAAGGAAGGAATGAAATCCAAAATCAAAGCAGATAAAATTAAACCACTTGCAACACCAAAACCTCCAACGACAGTACCTCCTCCTCCTTCAGTTAATCCTTCATCATTCACTTTATTATATCCATTTCAAACATTAAAGAAGCAAAAAGATTTTAAAAAGGATTTCAAGATATTAAATAAACCAATTGACCAAAATTCAACCGTTAAAGGAAAAATTTAGTCGCCCTTCATTTGCACCATATCCATATTCATACGAAATCGATCATCTGGAATATTCAAAAGGAAACGTTACTTATTTATTTGTCATTAACATTAACACTAGATATTTATATTGCATTCCGGTGAAAGGGAAAACAGAACAGGAAACAAGAAGAGCTATTCAATACTTACTAGATCATGAAAGAGTAGATAATATCAGGGGTGATGGTGATAAAGGATTTCAGGCAGCTATGACTCATTATTTCCCACAAATTAATTTTTTCTTTTCATCCTCTCCATATACGTTTCATAATAAAATAGTTGATGCGGTAATGAGAACTCTTAGAGATGCGTTAGGGGTTAACGGTCAGATATACTGGGATGGAAATCATGACTCCATCATACAGCAGTTAGTATATTATTACAATAATACATGGCATAGAACTATAAACATGAAACCAGTGGAAATGAAAAATGATACTTCAAAAGAATGGGAATATATTAGAAAGCAAATGGAAAGGTTGAATGATGTTAAACGTGAACAAATTAATTCGGGGCTCATGAATTTTAAACAAGGAAATAAAGTTTTAATTCATCTCGATTATGGAAAAACTGATAAATCAATGACAAAAAGAAGACGAAGATTTGACACAATAGCTAAACGCACCTTTGGACACCCTATATTAACGGTAATGCATTAGTTGAAGTTGACAATAAATTAATAGAAATTCCGATTTATTTTATTACTCCATTATATTTAAATAATATTTAATTTTTTTTTATTTCGTAAGAAATGAGTGACAACGAAGCAGTCAAGAGTCCAGACGATGAATATAAAAAGAAACTAAACAGAATTAAATCAAAAATATGCTATTACAAAAAGAAGCCACAATGCGGTGGGGTTGATGCCCATAAAACTAATGGAACTGAAAACGATAAAGAAATAATCGAAAAATTAGAAACTTACCGTTCAATCCTTAAACTGAGTGAAGCAAAAATAAAAGAATTTAATAGAATAAATAAATTGATTGGAAGAGATGAATTTAATAAAGATGAATTTTTAAACTCAATCCAAATTTAATTTTTATTCCTCTTTGACAACATCTCTCTTTCCATCATTACTGCATAACCGCATTTTCTCAGTTTTAGTGGTTTGTTATTTTTAGCAAGTTCTCGCATCATTTTTATCGTTTCCTCCCTTGTTATGATTCGTGGTAAATTTTGAGCTTGTGGGGTATTCATTTATGATAAAAATAAAAATTTAAATTATGCCGTTCTAAAGTTTGTGACAACATGACATTTTGACAACAGTCCCGGAAATGATTTGTCATGACTTCATCGTAATGAGTGTAAATAACCCAAAAATAATGTTTTCATTAATGGTTTCAGGTTATTCAATAATTAATTATTTTTGAAGAACTGAAGGGGTCACCGGGTCACCAGGTCACCAGGTCATTTAACTTCTCTGAAAAAATGAGACAACATGACATTTTGACAACATCATGGGTTATTCAATAATTAATTATTTTTGAAGAACTGAAGGGGTCACCAGGTCACCAGGTCACCAGGTTATTTAACTTCTCTGAAAAAATGAGACAACATGACATTTTGACAACATCATGGGTTATTCAATAATTAATTATTTTTGAAGAACTGAAGGGGTCACCAGGTCACCAGGTCACCAGGTTATTTAACTTCTCTGAAAAAATGAGACAACATGACATTTTGACAACATCACAGGAGGAAGGCAAAAATAAATTCCAGTCATACTTTATAAAGCTTCATTCACAGGTATTTCATCGTCAGTAAATGATTCCTCATTATCGTTTGGTTCAATTTGTTTATATAATCCTTTCATTTCTTCTTTCAAAACATAATACCATGTTTGTTTACCATCTATTTTTCTTTGTTTCCTTTCACATTTATCCTTAATGCTCATTTGAAAGTTTTTGTCTTTCATGTCTGATGGTTTGCAGAATAGAGCATTTTTACACGTCATACCTGCACATAATTCATCATAATGTGTATTTATCCATTCATCTAAAGGATTTGTTGATAATTCAATTAAATCTTGTTTGGCTTCAGTCATCGGTATGATTCGTACATTAAATGATGAAAGGTCATATTGCATAAAATATGTTAAAAGGTTATCATAAAATTCCTTAGTGCATGAATCCATTAAATTCTTGAAGTAATCAAATTGACCCTTGAATTTACCATTAACTCTTAAAACTACGTATCTTCTGTCTCCAACTTCAATTTTGACAGGGTAGACGTTGTTAGTTACGAAAATGAAGTTTGCAACATTCTGAGCAGTTCTTCTGGGTTGATTCTTTTCATTAATTCTAATCTCATTATCCGTAATAATTGATTTCAAAGCGTTGAAGTTTGCAAGTCTGTCTTCACCTACATTCTTGAGTTCATTAAGTACAAGAAACATTTTATTTTCAACTACTGAGTTGAAATTACCCGTTAGCTCACTTATTTCAGTAATGTTTTTACATGAATAACCTGCGAGAAGTTCAGAAATAATGTCTGTAAATCTGTTTTTACCTGTTCCCTGAAGTCCTTTCAAAATAATTGCTGTTTCATTCTTGATTCCAGGATGTTGAATCATTTGATGCAATCCAGCCGAGAAGGTATTTATACACTTCATCATTATTATCACAAATGGCTTCTTTAATGAAATTCATAAACATCTCAATTTTTGAGTAATCAGGCTTTTCAAGAATGTTGTATTTATAACCCTGAAACGTTGAGAAAACATCTGGGGAATCAGATTTAAAGCAAACACCCTTAACGGTTAATGAGGATAATTGATTTAGTAGTACATCCCATGCTGTTATGGTTTTACCTTCTTCTTTAAATAATTTAATCATTTTGAGTGACTCTTTCATGTTTGATTGAAGAACGAATGATATTTGATTCATTTTGTCGTGTGGATATTATAGTCCTTTTGAATGAAATATTTATTTCCACAATCTACAAAACGGATTACACGTGATAAATCCTCAATTACTTCAGAACTGTTTTTATACTGATGATTTTCAGCCCTGCGTCTAATATCTGTTATCAAAAACGAGTCATCAAGTTTGATATCAAATGTTATTTTTGGCTTACGTAATAAAGGTAAAACATATTCATCATAATATTCCTTTTGATAAAGTTTTAGAATCTTCACCAAAACAAATGGAGAAGTCATTAAATGTGCATATCTACTACGTGCTTTTTCAAAATTACTTTTTGCATTTTCAGTTAAATTGCAGAAATTATAAACGTTATCGTATGCTTCATTAATTAAATGATTAGGTAACGAATTAATTGCTTGAAACAGTGTGAATAATGTAACTTCTTTTTCTAAATTCATGTTTCCACCGTCATTATGTACTTCAAAATCACAGATGCCATCAACTATGCTCTGGGCAAGTTTATCGTCAATGTTTACATCTTTGTTTTCATTCATTATACTCTTTATTTCTTCGTTCTTCTGTTCAACTCTTACCTTAATATTCAAATCATTTAATATATCATTCACTGTTCTAGTTAATGTTGAATCATAACTTCCACGAATGAATGAGTATGTATTGATTGGTTCTGTTGCATTCTTGCGAACTCTTGATTCAGCCATAACCACTAATGAACGCTTTGAATCATCCATAGAAGTCATGATATCAATATCATAATCATTGCAGGAATAACATTTAATCATTCTGTTCGAAACTGCATAGAAGAAATTAGTGTTGCAATAAATGTGAAGACCTCCTGAAGCGGTTTTAACGATAACATCTTTATCCGAAAGTTTTGATAGAATGTCTTTTCTAACTGTTTCTTTAAGTTCATCATTGTATGATTTATTGATATCAACATCTATAATCGTTAAATTTGAAATTTTATTTACTAATAAAGCTGTACCAGTTTTCCTTCCTCTTCCTCCATCATGTTTGAGGTAGTTATGTAAATCAATCTTGTTTTCACCAATTCTTTCGTTGAGGGTTTTAGTTTCTGCCACAACTAATTCCTCAGCTAATGAATCAATAACTTGTTCATCAGAAACGATATAGTTGTTGTTGTTGTTTGTTGCTGTCATTTATATAGGAATAAAAAAATAAAAATAATTTTAAAACTAACTTTATTTTTGGACTACATCAAATTTTCGTAAATGTTGTCAAAATGTCATGTTGTCACATTTTTTCAGAGAAGTTAAATGACCTGGTGACCTGGTGACCCCTTCAGTTCTTCAAAAATAAGTCATAACTACCTTCCTCCTGTGATGTTGTCAAAATGTCATGTTGTCACATTTTTTCAGAGAAGTTAAATGACCTGGTGACCTGGTGACCTGGTGACCCCTTCAGTTCTTCAAAATAATTAATTATTGAATAACCTAAATCATTTACTCACAATATTTTTGTACAAAACGACCCCAAGTTTTAACTTCTTTTCTGCAGTTCATCCATTACTTCATTACCTAATTAATTACAAACATAAAATATATTTAGTTCATTCGGTAAGCCCAGACCTTTGGGTCAAGCACATTCATTGAACTCTATACCATGCGAATACAGTCATAAATGGTGGCATGTATTCTTTACTTTGTCCCGTTGTTTGTGTATATCCTGAAACGAAATGTGTATGGTTTCCTTCTCCCTGAGTGTCACTCCAGTAACAATTTATAGCAAACTTAACGTCGTCTTTAACATCATATCCTTTACCTTTTGTCATTCCTGACCAATCCCAATATCTATGCTTATGCCAACCCGCTTGAGATGTACTTAAATCTATGTAGTGACTGTGTGCAGGTAAATTTTCACCTGAAATCGTTTTACTTCCTCCTGTTTCCTTTGAAGAGTTTGCACAATACAAAAACCTGTCAACTATTTGTTCCCATGCACCAACACCAAACATTACTTGAGGACCTCTTGCATCCATAGATGTATAAATAGAACCTACTGGGTTCATTAAATCAAACATATGAGATAATATAGGATTGTCTCTTTTGAACTTAAAATATAGTGTAACTATTTCAGGTTTCTTCTGGTTTGTGTCAGAATATTTTTTATAATATAATCTTATGTTTTCAGGGTAGGTAAAATCTTGACTATAATATTTATTTCTGTCATCTGTATAATAATATACTATTCTCGTTTTTTCTATTGCATTATATCTTTTATATCTATAATAATCTAAATATAATGTTAGCTTTTGTTCATCTACATGTGGTGTTCTGTCGTCATCTCCATAGTCATAATAATATGGTGCTGGAGCTGGGTCAGCCAACGTCATACCTGCCATTTCATAAACTCTTAAATATTTCTTTTGTTCGTCTCCATATATGTTTAAGTAGCAGTTGTTGTCTAATGGAACTTTAACTTGTGTTCCATCATTCTTTATATAGCCTACATACATTTCATTGTTATTTTTCGGAATGAGTTTACACCGTATACCATTTTTTAAGGAGTGTACAAACTCCCATCTAAAATATTTGTTTTCTTCATTGACAGAAAAGTCACCAACAATAGTTTCAATATTTTTAGTTGTTCCTATCAAACTTTGGTATATTTCGTTAACATATTCCTTATCCACCTTCTTCTCTAACTCATCGTTAACATATTCCTTATCCACCTTCTTCTCTAACTCATCGTTAACATATGTTTTATCCGCTTTAAGGTCTAAACATCCTGAAACCCATCCTGTATCAGCTTTAGTTTTTAAAATCTTTGATGTCCATTCATGATACCATTCAACCCTTTCTTTAATTTCATTATCTTTTTCATCCACATATTCCTTATCTGCCTTCTTCATTATGTCATTTAGGAAACCTTTTATGAATTCCTCATTTAAATTAAATCTTCCAATCTTCAAAACTTTAGGAAATGCATTTAATGCGTAATATCTCTGTTCTTCTGGTGGAATTGATGTTATATCATCCGTTATTCCTTTAATTTTTGAATTCATAAATAAAATTTCTTTTATATTTGATATCACTGCACCACCCTTGCAAACGAATTCGAAATGGTCATTTTTCAATACTATCTCCAAATCTCCATATTTCAACCTTTGCGTTTGTTCTGCCGTCTTTGAATTATATGCATATATGGCGTATGTAATGGTCTGAGGGACCTGGGTGCTTTGTGCCTTAAGTTGTTGTGGTTGCTGTTGTTTAATCATTTATTATGATTTAAAAATAAATATTTAATCTGTTATCTCATCAGCTATTTTTTCTATTTGAAATTGCCATAATATTTCATTCATAAATTCTAAATCACAATCAAATAGGTCAGTTATTCTAAATTTAATATTTGATAAATCTTTTGAATGAAGAATAAATGAATTCCCGGATAATTGAAACGGATATGATAAAGAAAATGTGTTTAAGTTGATGGATAAAATGTTTTGTATTGATGGGTAAGAGTTAGGGTCAAATGTTTGATGTGAAAATCTCATTGGGGTATTAACTTTATCACATTTGATTAAAATGAAATTGGAACCAGTGTCAGAATACAAAACATCCCCAACATCTTTTTCAAAATTTAATATTCCCAACAATGAACGAAGATGAGGAGTACAAAATTTAATTTTCAGCGGGAATTTAATAAGGTTATTTATTTCATCAAGTTCAAAAAGTTTATCGGGTTTTGATTTAAAATTTTCTTCATACCATACGATAAATGATTCATTTAAATAACTTAAAATCATGTTAATATCCCATTTCGCTATCACATTATTTATATACATATCATACGTTTTTTCACGGTCATCTTTAATAAATGATATATAATCTGAAGGGTCTAAAAGAATAGGATTAAATTTACCACTCACAGAAACGAGAGTAACATTATAAATTCCGCTAACTGTTAAATTTAATTCACAGTTATTATTCGAAATAATATTGATAATTGACATTTTTATTACGATTAAAAATATGGTAAAGCGTTATTTTCCAGTGATAAATAAAACTAGAATAAGATTACCTCAAGAATTCATAAATTCAACGAATAAGAAATTCATTCATGTTATAAATTTTAGTGTTTTCAGAAAATATGAGTCAATGTCATATTCATCAACAGGTTATATTTCACTTCATTCAAATTTAGTTCAATCAAACCCATATAATGACCATTTCATAAGATTTTCAGATGGTATTAAAAATGTAATTGATAGATTAAAATATGAACAGATTGACAATATCGAATTTTTGGAATTTTGGTTTAAATATCCCGATGGAAAAAAGATTGAAGTTAAAGATAAAGCTGATACTATAACAAAAACAATTACAATGACCGATCCGGATAGTGGGGAACAAAAAGAATAAAACAAACGATAGAAACTGGTGAAAGGTCAATTATTATTGATTATGATTCAAAGGATTATTATTCGATAATGTTAATGCTTGAATATTAAATAGTCTTAACAAAGAATTTTTCAAGTGATATTTTATATTCATCAACTATTTTATTATAAATATCATTATATGTTAAATGAAGTTCAGTTGTTGTTCCGTTCTTTGATATCTTAATTGTGCTAATATCCTTTATAGGATTTATTTTTGCAACTGTTCCGCAGCATGAAACCTCATCATCTATGAAAAATTGAATCTTAACGTCTGAATCTTGAACATCACAAAGAATGGCGATAATGTGAATTAATGATTCATAAGGTAAAATAATTAAACCGGATTGGTCAATTAAATTTATTATTGAATCATAATTATTAATTATTATATCACGGTAAATTTTCATTAATTCAGAATTAATGTCTATTTTATATGGCGCATTGCAACTGGAATCGTAGATTCCTGGGTTCTCGATGTTTGATGAAAGAGGTGGGGGGTATGTTGGATAAGTGGGAATTTCAACAGGTTCTTTACCGGGTTCAGATAAAATGATTGGGTCTCCATCTTCTTTATTTTGCTCCTCCTCCTTTTTCGGTAAGTCACGAGTTAATAAATTGGACTGTGTTGCTGACCTTGTTAATTCAGGGCTAACATTAACTTTAACATTTTGAATAATTCGTGATTTATCATCATTTACGTTATAACCAACCGTAATCTCTGCTTTTGCGTTTGTGTTCTTTTGACTTGTGAAACGTCTTCTCATTTATAATTGAATAAAAAAAAGAAAAATATATTTAAAGTTTTATTTAGTTGTTACGGTAATATCCCAAGGTTCATCATTGTTTGCTTATACTTTCTTTGTAACTGCACCAATTATGTTATTGATATTGCTTTGAGTTTCTTCCAGTCTTATTTTATCATTTACAATATCTTTAATCATTTCATTACATGCATTCTTAAAACCATCTGATTTTTCTAATTTACGTCTATCACTTTCTTTAATTAAATCAAAGTTATAACCTTGTTGAGAATAAAGTGGTTTCTTTATCAATTCCTTGAACGCTTCTGAAAGTGAAGATGAAGAAATTCTTGCCACTTGAATTGGTTTAAATTCTGCTTTCATTGCTTCTTTCTGTTCATTGAACACTGGATCGAATAAAGCAACTTTAAAGAATTTCATAGCTGGAATTTCAGGTCTAATATTTGCATATTGACCATCAAACTGGTTAGAATATCGTGGTAATCCATCCGGTCCCTCTTCAATAGCATTTAATTCTTCATTGAAATAAGAATATGGATTATAACGGTATGAATTAATTGGACCATTTTCACCTTCTCCAATGTATTGTTTAACAGCTTTTCCATTTTCATCAAATTGCATAGGATAACGTTCATTATATGCTTTACGTTTAGGATAATCAGTTATCGTTAATTTGTAACCATTTATGACTTTAATATTACCTTGACCATCAGTAACGAAAACTTCATTTATACATCAGGTTTTCCATTTGGACCGTAATGTCTGCTTCGTGTGCTTCCCAATTTGGACCATGACGTTTGGCATATGCTTGAGCTTCTGGTAATGTTAAAACGTTTCTCATTTGTTTAACATCCTTTTGAAGACCGGCAACAATGTGGACTAATTCTTTCATTCCGTCTGGAACTTTCATAGTTCTATATATGCACCCTTTTTTTTGTCCCTTGTTTTAATGGAACCTGTAGAAGATTTGCTATTTCTGTCATGTTTAATTATAAATAAAAAATAAAAATTAATTATAAAAAGTTAATCAAATTTAACACTTCCTTTATTTAAATCAACTATTATTTTTCCATGTTCACCTAATTGCTGATATTGTGTGCAAAGTTCATTAATGCTCATTGGTAAATTCACTTGATAAAGCATAACGTTCAACTGTTGACGACTAAAACCACTGAAAATGAAAAGTGTTGATAGATTTGATTTAATGTTTGTGCTTAATGCTTTGAAGTATTGAACAGCCATAAAGAATGAACACTGAATGTGTCGACATTGAGTTAATAACTGATTAAAATATGATTTCTCATTTGTTATTAGTTTTGATTTCACCGCATCATCTAGAAAAATGAGTGAATGCAAAAATTCTCTATCAAAATTTGAAATAGAAAGTGTTTCAAATAATTCATCCCGTTGTTTATCAATAATTTTATCCTCTAATCCTTGCTTCTTGATTGTATTATATAATTCTTTATACATTAAAAAGTTTTTTAAATAATCTTCTGCTTCTTCTTGTGATAAATAAATAATTGGAATTTTGATTAAATGTTTTAAAGATTCAAATGTATCATCTGAAGGTGAACCTGAACGGTTGATATAAATTAACACATGTGAATGGGGGGAAGTGTTAGCAATAATGATAATTTGTTTTAATATCGTTAATGTTTTACCTTTATTTTGTTTACCAATTGCTGCAGTGATTGAATTTAAGTAACATTCAGAATATGGAATTTTCATTAATTTTTCCTTAGATAGAGCATTTCTATTATCACTCAATGCTTCATTAATCATATCATCTACGTATGTATTATATACTCCTGCTAATTCTTCATAAGGGGTGGATGAATTTAAATCCATTTAATCAAAAATAAATTTATAATTTTAAACATTTCTATTCATCAATATTTCATCATATGAACTTCTATACTGTGGTGGTGTACCTGTTGGATGATATTTCAAACCTTCATCCGGTGTCCATGTCCAATACGTAGTCCTAGTAAACCAAACCTGAGGAGGATTTGTCACCTTTGAACAGTAAGTGTCATTTTCACCCTGAATGATTGGATAAGCTTTCACTTGTACTGTAACTTGTGAATTGAAAGTTTCTAATCCATCAAAGAATATACCCGCTCCATCACGTTGAACTGGAATAGTGCATAAGAATGAAGTTTGGTCTTTCCATGTTCTAGCTAATGGCGTGCCATTATCATCATTCAGTGGTCTAGTTAATGAGTCCTCGTATTCTTCTGTGCATTCATTCACTCCATCTAAATCAGAAGCTTGAAGCATACGTGTAAAGAATATGTCGCCCACTGTGGTCATCGCTTGATCGGGGAAGTTTCTGGAATCTATAGTGACCTGAAGACCTCGAAGCGTTGGATTTTCTAAAACTGTTCTTTGCATTGCATTCTTCGGAAATGCTAACACAACATCTGTAACATTATGAAGAGCGTATGAGAAATCTGAGCTAATACCTTCAGGAGTGATGCAACCTCCATTTAGTGAACGAACGTCAATATGTTGAGCTGGAATCATGAATGGATCTTCCTTACTGAATAAACGTGGTATTGCTTTAACTGATTCTTCAATTAAACCGTATCCTGGTGTAATGCATTTATCCTCTAAAACTTCCATCTTTGTGCATGAAATAATAACGTCATCAACTGTTGCGTCAGCAGATGTAGCGGCTAAGCTTGTAATTAATTTGGCAGGAAGTCCGATTTGTCGGAATTTGCGATCATATTTATAAACATGATTCATAATCTTTTCATAATTTTCATCAGTTATCTTTTCATAAACGTAATTTTGTAAATCAGCAACTCTTAACGGGTCAACCTGACAAAATACTAAAGTATCCCTGAAAACATAATATTTAAGAATGATTTCACCAATTGATTTAGGATAATCATCGAACGCCTGAAATGCTAACAAATCATTTACCGGAATAATCATATCAAAAGTGACATCAACTTCTTCATTTGCTTTCTTGAAAACTTCTGAAGGGTCAATATATTTACCACATACTGAGTTATCATATTTTTGAACATTATTATATAACGAATGAACAAACTTTTTAACTTTCCTTTCTGATTTTGGTTTATATGTTGCAAATGCGAAAGATTCACGGGCGCAATCCATCTGAAGATAACCGGCATCACCTCTTTCGGTTTCTACTTCTAATTGTTTAAAGCTTTGATTTGATGATTTGTAACCAACGAATAAACGCATACATTTAAAAGCGGCATCACATGTGAAAGCTTTATTTGAAACTAGAGTTGCTTTAACTTTGCGTTTAATATATGTGTCACCTAATTGGTTCACATCATGAGCCGGATTTGTAATTCTTAAATGAGTTTGTTTATCATCAAAATATGGAGTATCAGAGTCATAGCATGAACTTTCAAGTTCTCTATAATATCTTCTACCGTCATTCTTTGCGAATATTTCATTTATCTTTTCGAATGAATGAAACACATTTCCATTAATCGGTTAGTGTTTGGCACTAAATAGTTAGTCGTCATTTATTAATAAATAAAAAATCAAAATTAAAAGATGAAAATGAATTTTTAATTTTAATGAAATAATCAACTATGGCTGCAGGTATATTTAAGAAACTGTGGGATAAAGTAAAAAGAGGAGCGCATAAAGTTTGGGAAACAATGAAAAAAGGAGCAAATTGGATATTTAAGAATAAAGAAGCAATTAGTGACGTTGCTGAATCAATAACGCCAAAAGCTGCCCCAATAAGAGAAATATTAAATAAAGGAGAAAAAGTTTATCAAAGACTTCAACCGATACTAAGATAAAAATAATATTTTATTTATTTTCCACTATCTACCCCCTATTTTATTAAGTATTCCTTCAGCTATTCCACCAATTGCGTTACCTGCTTGTGCTCCCATCGCCGGATTACCTGCTTTAGTACCTAATACTCCACCTATGATAGTTCCTGCCGTTTCGCTACTGGTGCCAAAAAGTTTGCAACGGGTTTAATAATATTTTTATGAACCCAACCTGCAGCTTTCTTAATTCCTTCCCATAATTTTTTAAAGAATCCTGCAGCCATTTCTGATTTAATATTAATTAAAAAATATATTTCATCACTTATATTCTAATTTTATTTAATGATAAATGAAACCAATTTTAAAAATAAATGAAACAGAGGAGGAAGAAATAAATGAAAGTGAAAATGTTCAACAAAAAATAAACGTTGTTAAACCAATTACTGAAATAAAAATTTTTTCATCTGTTGAAGAATTTAATGACTATTATGCTAATAATAAAAAATTATTTGAAGAATTGACAACGTGTAAATTGAATAAAATGTTTAAAGTTGATGGATTCAAAATTTCAAAAATAAAAGGAGTGGTTAGTTTGAAATCTATTCCTCAATCAAGAATCACCTCATTAATGAAAATAGATGATTTAACAAAAAGAATAGAAGAGATTGAAGAAAGAATAAATCAAATTATTGATTTCATAAATCATGACTCGTTGAGCCCGGGTCCTTAAAGCCCATCACTGAGTTCAAGGTTATATTCATCAAATATTTCATTATTAAATGCAACTTCTGCTAGTTTATTTATTTTTTCAATACGATCATTTGAAAGTCTATCGTTTAATTTTTTCTGAAGTTTTTCATTTTCTAGTTCTGAAACTTTATTTGGATGATATGTAAATTCATGAAATTCTTTGGCCTCGGTTTTGATCATTAATTTACAAAGAACTTTTGTGGTTGGAATTCGTTTGAACCATTTATTAGTTATATTCGTTATATATTCAATATCTGGAATTAATTCCCAAATTTTTGCATTTTCAATTAATTTATTATCAAATGCAAAAGCAATGGGTTTAAAATCGTATAACCCATTAAGGGTGCACCCGCATGTACGTTTATTTGAGAGGAGGAGGATTACCCTCTCAATTTGGAAAGCTTCGTTAACTTAATATCTCGATGAATATTGGATTAAAATTGAATTTGCCCATACCAATATATCTGATACAATATCCTTAAGTTTTACTAAAAAGAATTTTTTAAAATCCCTGCAGATTCGGGGATTTTTAATTTTTTTGATTTTTTTCGAAAATTTTTCGGAAAAAAAATATTTTCAGAAGAGCCTTAACGGCTAAGTTTTATGTTTAATGTTGAGTATCAAAAAGAATGGGCATCTGATATAGCATCAAAACTATCAAGATTGTAATGTTTTTGAAGAAAAATTTATAGAATTATGGACTTCAAACAGATATTATGTAAATAAAAATAATATAATGAATTTATTTATTCGTATAATAGCAGTAATAAGCCGATTATTCACTTCTACTTCTGAGATTTGAATTTAATTTCGACAGAAAAAGAGATTCAAGAGGAAAATACTAGGGGATACAAACAGCCACCATGACAGGATTATTATGGAGCCAAGTTGTATTTTTTGATATTTTTAGAGTTTTCCTACCTATTTAGGTACCAAGTTATTGCTTAAAAATTAAGGTTCTAAATTCTGAAGTTTACATGATCCTCCCGGGCGCACCCTTAAATGAATTTTCTTTGATATTGCCTGTTTGTTTGAAAATATTTCTTGTATTGATTTTTCATTTTCAATTAGTAATTTGTCACATTCTCTCGTCAACATATTGTAAATATTAATAACGTTTTCTTCATTGTAACTTGTCTCATCACTAAGATTTGAAATAACGTTTATAAAAATTTCCGCAGCTCTTGATGGAAGCAAAAACTCCCTGTGTGTATTTATAAATGATAATAGTATTTCGGATATCACGCAATTTTTTGGTATTTCGTTAATAATTAGATTTATTATTTTGAATTTGTCTGATTCTTCTTTTATTTGTGAATTAAACGATTGAATTATTCCATTCTGAATATTAGTGTCAAATTTGTAGAATAAATTAAACGAAAAGTTATTGAGAAATGAGGAATTTATAAATTCGTCTAGAATTCTTTGATCATTGCATAAAAATCCAATGAATTCGAATTCATTATCGGTTTGAATATAACTTGATGGTAAATTATTAAAAAATTGAAGATATGAAAACTGATTGCATATATGAAATAAGACCTCAGCAGTTTGATCTTCTTTAATCTCCCAGATTGCATCCATAAATTGATTAAATTCTTCTTTAGAGAATGGTTGGGAAAGAATTTTCACAATAAATGGAAGAATATTATCCATATTTTAAAAAAGTGACAGAATTGCTAAATTTAGATTTTCTCATATATCAGTTTAATTTCTAAAATAATATCGTAAATGCCTAAAATTTTATTCCACTCCTTCAAAATATATGAATTGTTTCCTTAAATTATGAGATTTGCATCCTTCTTAGATAAATTTCAATTTTGACATTGTGAATAATCACCAAAATTTTTAAAAAATTTCAAAAATGAGCTTAATATCATTAATTTTTCAAGACAAATTCGGTTTTCTCTAATTTTTTTGGAGTTTTTCGAAAACAATTTTCATTTTTCTCGTCAAATAAAGGAAATAGAACAAAATTAAATAATGAAACAAAGATCATATATTATGTTCTTTTATTATCAACTAAGGAATTGAAGTATAACATCCAATTATAATTAAATTTCAGAAAAAGTAAAGAAATCTGAAAAAAATAGTAATGAAAAAACTCCTCTTAATAGTGCAGATCACTATTATATAACTTATAAAATTTTGACAATCATATGCCTCCTCGTACTTTTCATTTTTCTCAGCCTCAGATCTGAATGGAGCAGCTATCATATATCAAAAAGATGCTACGAATAAGCATGAATTTCTGAATCAATTTTTAAATTTACACTTTCCAAATTATTCAAAAAATTTAAGAAAGCACGTATGGAATTATTTAAAGCGTGCTTGCACAATTCAACTCAGAGATTGCGATAAAAACGTTTACACACAATATTATATTAGTCCTCCCTATAAATTTCACAAAATTGATTCATCCGGCACCGAACATTCATATTCAATCGTTTACAAATGCGAAGGAAGCTGCAATTACAAAATAAAAGTGACACTGTACCCAAATCAAATTCCAAAAATCGAACCTCTCAGTGGTGAGCATTCATGCACACCAAAAGGTACAGTTTTTAGAGATATTGAAGAAGAAACAAAAATTAGGGATCTAATGCAAATTACACGTGAACACCATTCAATACAACCGTTAACTTCAGAAGCGCAAATATTATCATATTTACTTTCTGAGGCAACAAAACTTGAAAGGCCTCCAAAAATACCAGAAAATTTACCACGCACATTATACAAAGAGTTTTATCCACATAATTTGGTTATTCCAGATTTTGTGGAACAAATTCTTTCAATTACCAAACAAAATTCCGAAAATTTTCTAAAATACATCGCGTTTTACCCAGAACCAATAATAATTTTCGGTTATGATCGTTCTGTCTCAATTTGTCACTCAGCAACAAAATTATTCTTGGACGGTACCTTTAAAATCGTCCCAAGACAGTTCGATGACAAGGGTCAACTCCTTACATTAATGGTGCTTGACCAAACAACGAATGAATACATTCCTGTTGTCCACATTCTTATGAAATCTCGGACAGCAGAAGCGTATACAACCGCATTTTCCGCATTAATTTCAATAATTGGGTTCAACAATTTCAAAACTGTTTACGTAGATTTTGAAATCGCACTTTACAAATCCATTAAATTATTTTGTCCAAACGCAAAGGTTACTGGCTGCTTATTTCATTATCGCCAAGCATTAATTCGCAAAATAAAAGAATTATACCCGAAACAAGAGATACCAAAAGAGATTTTTACACTTTACCAAATTTATTCCTCATTACCTTTCGTCGAAAAAGACTCATTTTATCAAATACTTAAATTAATCGATGAGTCATCCTCAGAAATTGCAAAGCCGTTCGTAAATTACTATAAAAAAGTATGGAAGAAAGATTATGAGTTCATTAACCAATTAGATTCAGAGGATGATATCTACACAAATAATGCTCTTGAATCCTTCCATTCTTTGCTTTCGAAAGAATTAGAAAATGCCCATCCTAGCCTCGAAATAATGATTGCAATCTTAATGAAAGTCGATAAACACTTGTTGGATAAACAATTACTCAGTACAAAACCAGCAAAACATCCTGTCAATTATACAAAGTCCACAGCAAATATTAAAAAAGCAATTACAAATTATTTATCCGAAACAAATCGAAATTCCAAGAAAAATCAAATCAAACTTAAAGAATTTCAACAGTCAAATCAAGTAAACGAGAATTCAATCGACTTTACACCAGAAACAGGTGAGTTTTCTCAAAATGATGAGAAGATTCTCAATGAAATCCCAAATGACCAGAATAAAGTGGTTAATCAAGTGATCAAATCAATGGCAAATCCATCAAATTACAAATTCGATAAAACATTACTCACCGAGAATTTATTCTCAATCGAACAAAAGGGAATCACGAAAATTAACCGAACCAAATTTCCAAAACAAAGAAGTAATCGTTGTCTTACAAGAAAAAAGAACATACAAAAGCCTAATGGTGATCTTGGTGAAAAATTTTCGAAAATTACTCGCAAAACAAGCAAAATTGAGAAGGCTCATTCAAATTCAGACCACAGCAGTTCAAATTCAGAAGTTACAGATGAACCTCTCTCAGATGATTCTGATGATGATTTCGAGGTAAAGGCTAAAGGTAAAAAGAGTCCATATCCTATTCCAGAATTATCAGATGGATCTTTTGAGACACCAATAAGTTCAGAATCCGAGACTTTTGAAAATAAAAAAATTTCAAATGCTCCAAACGAGAAAAGTACTACAGACAAATCTGAATCAGACAATGACGAGGAACCTATATCGTCTGAAAGCGACGTTTACAAAGAAGTTGAAGAAGTTCAAAATTTCAAAGAAATTTCCAACCCTGCTATGCCCAAAAAGAATAATGTTGATAGCGATGATGACGATAGTTGGATCATACGTCCAAAAAAGGAAATACAGAAGAACAAACTTGAAATTATTGCTGAAAAATGCGAAAAGAGATTAAACAGAGTGAGAAATTTAAGTCAGGCTTTACCAAAATTTGATGAAGATGATTTGGAAAGGTAGAGATATAATTTAAAGTTTTGAATCAGAATGTCTTATTGAAAAACAGATTTGTCTGATCACAAGCACTTAAGACTTTTATAACAATAGAAATGCGTTTATGATATTGAAATAGTCAAATTACAATTTTTTTTTCTAAGATGTCTTATTGAAAAACAGATTTGTCTGATCACAAGCACTTAAGACTTTTATAACAATAGAAATGCGTTTATGATATTGAAATAGTCAAATTACAATTTTTTTTTCTAAGATGTCTTATTGAAAAACAGATTTGTCTGATCACAAGCACTTAAGACTTTTATAACAATAGAAATGCGTTTATGATATTGAAATAGTCAAATTACAATTTTTTTTTCTCAGATGTCTTATTGAAAAACAGATTTGTCTGATCACAAGCACTTAAGACTTTTATAACAATAGAAATGCGTTTATGATATTGAAATAGTCAAATTACAATTTTTTTTTCTCAGATGTCTTATATCACTATAATGTTTTATTGTTTCCATTCAAACTATAATTACAATTCTATACAAAATCCAATGAATATAAAAATAACCTTTAATTCAACCAAAATAAAAAAAATAATATAATAAATTAGTCATCTTCCGACAAAGGACTTTCCAAATCATCTTCATCAAATTTTGGTAAAGCCTGACTTAAATTTCTCACTCTGTTTAATCTCTTTTCGCATTTTTCAGTAATAAATGATAGCTAATATAAATGAATACCCTTAGAAACAAATATAAAGAAAGATATGAATTTTTTAAATTTTCACTTCACCTAAAATCATTCCGATCCGTAAAGTATTGAAATCTATCCCGATTAATCGGGATAAAATTGAATGAGTTGATCCCAATTTCCCGATCAATCCCGATGCCAAAAGATAAGTCACAATTTTCAATTGTTTTACGAAATCTTATTAACGGCAATTTTCAATGGTTTACGTCATGATGCCCAAAAAATTTGAATATTTTGGCATGATGAAATTTTTTTTCCAAAGTGCACTTTATTAAAAAAAAGCTCTAAAAAATCTTTATAATATAAACACAGTTATTCTCTACTGCATTGTTTCTTTATAATAACATTTTGCAGTAGCAGAGTGATGAGCGACGAAACTTGAATTGATCCTCCGATAAAAACGGAAGCGTAGTTTGTAATGATCTCGCGCTCTTTCTGTGTTGTATTTGGAACTTCCATAATGACTGCAAACACGGACATGTAACTGATTGCTCCGAAGAATCCGATTAAAAACAGAGGAATCAGCATATAGATTGGCGCAATGAACACGACAATTGCATTGACAAGCATAATCACAAATAGGCATCCTGTTATCACTGTTGTGATTTCTAATTTCTTAATTAAGAACCATTTTTTAATTGAGCGACCGATCAAGCCACCGCATTGGTAGCAGATTGAGAAGTAGCCAAATATGAAAGGTTCGTCGACTTTCTGCTTCTTTGTCATTGAGCAATCTGTTAATCCAATAAGAGAAATGTATTGGAAACAAAACATTGCGAGGTTGTTGAGAATGAAACGAAGAGATTTGTACCAATTTGAGCATGAACAGAATGGAACTTTCTCTTCTTCATCTTGTTTGTCAATAGCTGCGTCGTTTTGTTCGATATCTTCTAATTTCTCTGGTTCCTCTTGTTCAGGAACTTTTGTAGCTGTATTTGGATTCTTTAGCATGAGAATAAAGATCAATGGATATAAAATTCCTGTTGGAGACATGCAAATGAAAGATAGGAAATACGATACTTTGAATTTTTGGCAAATAAGAGAGTACCCTGCACCGAAAACACCTGAAATTCCGGTTCCAATACCCCAGGCACCAAGTAAAGCGTCATTATCTAGTGATGCAAAGTAACCAAGCATAACGCCTTCTCCAAAGTCGGAAGAAACACCGACAAATGCTATAAATAAGATAGCTACAAAGATATTTGGAGCAACAGCTGTACCGATAAGTCCAACAAACATAAAAGCTCCATTTATTATCGATCTGATATTGTAAGAAACATTTTTACTTGTAAGAAATGCATTTCCGAGTGTTGCAAAGATTGATAAAATAACGATTCCCCAAGATACAGCACCAATATAACCATCTTTATTGAAATGAGTGCAAATTGCTTGTGTGTTAGCATATGCAACCCAATATGGAAGGTTATTAATTAATCCTATGAGTAACATTCCAATATAATTAATAATTTTCCATTTTTTCTCAGAACTGCTGGTTTCAACTGGCTCAATATTATCTGCAGGTTGTTGCTGAATCTCATTTTGTTGGGTTGTTTCCACTGGGTTACCAAATGAGTCAACCTCAGAATTATTCATTCAACAATCAATAAAAAATGAAATTAAATAATCAATTTCGGACTTTAAATTTACAACAATTGGGTTGTTCACTTAAATATTTGATCGGAAAAGATTTATAAGATTCTTTCATACAATTATTTAAAATCTCATTTCAAATCTTAGCTTAAAATGTTATACTCATGGAAAAAAGTATGTCTTCCGTTGTTTTAAGATTGAACTCTAGAGTATTGAAATTGAATATAATAATGAAGGAAATACTTTAAAGGCATATCTTGACTCAATACTATTCATATTTTAGAATATCATGATCAGAATGGCATGGGCTCATTCCATGATTATCATTTTCGATATTTGGCAATAAAACGAATACAATGAGAAAAACTGTTTGAAATACATGAAATTTTTTACTATTGATAGTCTCTCATGGAATATATTGCATCAGGCAGGAATTTGAGAATAAGCAATTTCTTTTTTTATTGAATTTATTGTCAGATTTTGCCAGTAAAGGATCCTTTTTATTATGAAAATATTGATTAACGTATGATATATGATTAAAATCAAATTTGAGGGCTTTGATTAGTCGTAAATTCAATTTATATATAACTTAATTTTGATGTCAATACCACATCAAATTTATGTTATTCAGCGTAAGCCACCGCAAAAATGCGTTTCTAGGAAATATGAAGAGCATCGAGAAGTTGTTGCAAAGAGAAGAAGAAGAGTTCAAGAAATATACTCATCGATAGAGAAAATTCTTCGCTCTTTCCCAAAAGTCAAAAAGCGATCAGAGCTTCTAATCATTGCCAGTGCATTTTCTCATAAATTAAATATAAAAATAGATAGAGATGCAAAGCGTTTAAATGAGTGTTTAATTTGTTGGTATTGCGAAAATTGGCATCTTATTAAGTCTATTTTGTTTCCTACTTATCATGAACTTTACTTTAGTGGCGCATTTAATATAATCTCGCCCAATTTTGATATTGATGTGTTTGAATCAGATTTAGGAACGTTTATTAATAAATTCGATGATTTAAATATTCGACCATTTGAAAACCCTGAATATGAATGCAAAATTCCTGAAATACTTGATGAACCTCTTTAGATCATTTCCTAACTGTAATTTGTTTTGTAATCGTTGATTATACATGTAAAACCCTTTATTTGTATTCGTTTATATGTATACATTTGATTTTTTGAAGATGAATTTGTTAATATCAAGGTCCATAAAATAAATGAATGTCAAATCAGAATATTAGATTGTTATTTAAAGAAGAGGCATCGTATTTGAACTGCTTTCGTTGAAATATCCAATTATTGAAAAAATTGTTCATATTTTTTTCAATCAAAGAAGTTTTTACATTAAAAATAATAATCAGACAAACAATTCTTCCTGATGACAAATGGAATTTGGGGATAATTCACATGAATATACATTTCTATTACAAAAGTAAATCATTATATCTCTTGTATCCATGGAAGAATACAAACAACATGAACTTTTTAAAAAATCCTGGTCTTTTTTAAAGGAAATCTAATATTTAAAAAAAATAGTATTTTAGGTTTAAGCGTGGTACCATCTTGATGCTCTGCGGCCACGAGCCATTTCGAACTTGCGTCCGTGTGAAGCAATCTTTGGACGAGTCTTAGAATTGTCATCGCCTGGAGCTGCTCCGAAATGCTTGTTAACAAGGCGGTGTGTACGATCACCTTCTAAAAGCAAGCACTTGTCACCTGTTGGGCGAAGCTGAGCAAGTTGGTCGAATGTGATGCATTCGCCACCAGCAGCAAGGATACGATCACGAGCTGTTTCTGTAAACTTGAGAGCGCAAACTTTCATCTTTGGAACTTCAAGAAGGCGTTCATCGTTTGTGATCTTAGCAACAAGAACTGCAATTGTCTCATCTTCCTTATCCTTGAGGTCTGTAGCAAGGCGGCTGAGAGAGTATGGACGTCTGTTTGTGCGTGAAATGCATAAGCGGCGAGCAATCTTAGCATTGAAATCATTTCCTGTGCGGCGAGCGAGGAAAGCATAAAGGTTATGGAGCATCCTCATCTGTGCATCTTCTGACTTTGGTTCTTGTCTCTGCTTGCGAGGAACGCGATGGTCTAAATCAACACCCATTCGAAAAGGATTCCCAAACCGCCATTTTTTGCGGCCATTGAAATTTCATGCTAATAAGACAAAAATTGGTGAATAATAGGATTGTATAGCTTGAATGAAATATATGTGTCGGAGTACAATATCAAAATTTCCACTCCAATATTCTTCATTCAACTTTGATTGAAATTCCGATCTTGTTAATGAAATTTATGATGTGAATTATGTTCCCATATGTACACAGATGGATATCTTCTAAGCACATCTTTTGAAAACATGTATAAATATATCTACCATGGTCATGAATGTTTATTGTTTTATTAAATGATAACAAACATTATAATCGTGGTTTTAGCCAGAATAAGTCTTGTTTCATCTAAATTGTGATTTTTTTTTTAGTTTTTTAGAATAAGAAATAAAAAATATTGATTTTAAAAGTATATTGTTTTAAGCAAATAAGCATTATATATTGAAAAACTTAGAAAATCGATGCATGTGGAGAATACAGTGCTGAAAGTGCGAGCTCAAAGGCCGCTTCATCTTCATGGGGAACACCCATTGCTTTGACAGAGAGGTAAGGGAGATCAGCGCAGTATTCTAATGAGACCTTCTCTGCGACCTGAGTCACGAATTTATCACCGCTAATTTCGCATATTTCGTATTGAGGTGACATGCTTCCCGGAGGTCTTGGGCTCTTAATTGCGTTGATTCTATCTTGGATTTGTTGTGCCATGTTGCAATTGTTAAGCGCTGTCTGGTAGATCTTGAGAGCTTCGTCGTTCCTATTTTGTCTTTGGAAAATAAGGCCAAAATTAAGCCATGCTTCTGTAATGTCGCTTCTAAGGAAAAGCGCGCGCTGGAAAGCAACAATGGCATCCTGGAACTGGTCGTTCTTGAGGTAAAGTATCCCAAGGCCACACCAGAAGAGTGGGGAATCACTCCATGTATTCAAACATTCTCTGTATCTATTATATGCGGCTGTTGTAAATTGCTGGCGGAGGGAAATGCATGCCAAGGCGAACTTAAGAACTGGATCGTTTGGATACTGATCCTGGGCTTCTTTTGCAATGCGTTCGGCTAATTCGAGAGAACGCAAATCTGAGCTGAGGGAAAGGAACCATGCGTATTGCTGGTTTAATTCCAAAGAGCGTGGATGAACACGAAGTAAGTCGTTGTAGGTTTGGTTGGCACGATCTGTCTGTTTTTGGATTTGATAGGTAAAAGCGATTTGGAATTTGATATCGTCTTCTATGAGATTTGGTGGGAGATTAGTAAGTGCTGATTTAAATAATGGAAGGGCATCATCAGGCTTATTTAACGATCTATATAAAATCGCAAGTCTGAAGTTTAAGTCACCAATATGTGGAGCATGAGGCTCTAATTGAAGAGACATCCTATAAAAGCGAAGTGCTTCTTGATTGTAATTGAAGTGCTGGTAGACAATACCGGCAACAAACCAAAAAGTAGCATCTTGGAAGTTTTCGTTGAGCTTGATGACGTGAGCAACGCAAGTGTAGGCATTTGGAAAGTCATTAAGCATCAAATAGCACTTTGCAAGTGTGGACCAGGAATTATAATCATCTGGATTGTTATGAACATATTCGATTTTCCTTGTTACGAAATTGCAAATTATATTTACGGCGTTGCTAAGATTTTTATTTGTAGATGATACGGTTTTGTTTTGTGGGTTATATGACAATAATCTATGGGAAGCAATCGTAATATCTTGCTCCGCGCCAATGAATTTAGAAAGCTCGAGAACGCTGGACCAAGCAGACTCGAATTCTTGATTTGCTCTTTCAATGCTGGGAGTTACTTGCTGAAGTGGATTCACAGACATTACGAAGCTAAAAAACCGCCAAAAATTGAAATCAGAAAATATTAGAAATTTTCTTGAATAATGATTATAATTAATCTGATAATTCTAAAAATTGACTTTTCGTTCAGTATAATTGATAAACAAAATTGTTGAATATAAAAAGCTTTATTTATTTTTATTTTTGAGATTAAAATATTTTGTACCTAAAATATGTTATATTTAATTGGAAAAAAAATGTATTTTTAATTTATTGATTTGTAAACCTCATAAAGATTTGAGCGTGTCTGATTGTCAAAAAAGCACAAAAAATATAGTTAAATTGATGTTGCTCCCCAATCCCATGCAACTAATGATACTCTAAAAATCTATATTATTCTTTTTTCATTTTTCAAAAATTTTCCCAATTATATATTTCTCGTTCTTTATCCATAAGGCAGGTTCTGTAAAAAACATCATATCAGCTGAAAACATCGAACCCGAAAGAATTGGTAACTTTAAAATCTCAAAAAAAGATCTTGAACAACTGAAACAAACTTATAATTATAATTCAGACTCTGATGAAGAGCCAGAATACACGTATGACGAAGAAGGTCATATAATATGTGGAGTTAACGCTTATTTCAATATTTCTAAACGAGTGTGTTATTGCAAACCTGGCTTTCCATTAGGAAACCCTTACAAGCAAAAAGGCTGTTATTTTTGCAATGTTCAATGTTCTAGACATGCTCAGTGCGAATACCCAGGAGAATGCAAGTGCTACTCAACCCATTTCGGAAATGGTTCATATTGTATACAAAATTTGCCGAAAATACAGTTAATTACTCAAATTAATACATCGCATATACAAGTTGATATAACGTATCAGTCGGATGACTCTTTAAGTGCCGGATTTTGCAGTGTTAATGGAGTCATTTCAAAGGCTACAGATGTTACTGATAAGTATTTCGTCTGCAAAGTTAAAAAGCTCAAACAAACTTTAGATGTAAAGCTTTCAAAAGATGGAAAAGAATGGTCTAAAATGGCATCTTACCATATTCAAGTTCCTGATGACAATTCTGGTGTTGCATCAAGATTAATAATAATTCTTGTATTCTTAGGTATCATGGCAATTTTGGTTTTAGTTTTATCCCGCGCAAAGCCACCTAAAAAGGAAGAAATAGAGCCATTTATCACTTCCAAAGCTAGGAAGAATCTGAATATTAATACAAAAGATACCGAATTTGCAAAGGTTTAATTTTATAACTTCTTTTTTTTCGAATGTTTCAATAAATCTATATATCTAGTTCTGTTTTTTAGTGTTTTTAGCAAATAAATCTGATGAAAAATACATAATATCAAATTTCGAAAATATGGATTATAAAAATGTCTTCGGCTCATTGTTAAATTCATTATAATAAAAATTCTGAAAAATTCTAATCAAAATAAAGCGCAATCAAGATTTACAATATGAATGATATCGCAAAAAAGTAATATAACTTAACTAAATATATAATGAAACTCAATAAAGAGCTCAGTCTGATGAGGAGGAGGAAGAAGAGGAATCACCATTGTCCCGTTTTTCTTCAACATTAATTGGCTCCATGCGGCTTGCAGGAACGTTATTTCCCTCTTCATTATTTTTGTTGGCGAAATACTGGAATAAGAACCAGCCACCAACAATCATTGCTGTTAATACAATAATCGGGACGATAATAATAACTGCTAAAATAGCCGCTCTGGAGTCAGAAGTTGTTGTTAAATCCAAAGGTTTACCTTCTAGAAAATGATTTTCGGAGTTCAAATAATAATAACCTTGGGTGAATGTATAATTCTCTGAAGTATAGCCCTCAACATTTATTTTAGAAATTTTAGCAATGGGCTTTAATGTTCTTAATTGAACAAATGTATCATATTCATAAATTTTTTCAAACCCTGTAGAATCAACCGAAATTTTCGGGTAACCGAATAAAAAGAAGCATGCATTTGATGCAGATTCGACTTTTGTTGCCTCTTCAAGTGGGCCAAAGTGAAAATCATATGTTGTGCAGACTGAGGAAGGCTTTACAAAAGTAAATGTTAGATTTATGTTTTCTTTAAGAGCTTTTATTTTCATTGACTTGACATTTACACTAACTTCTTTGAGAGATCCTGATTTGATTTTAAAATCTTCGTAGTTATAAAGAACGGCGTAAGTATAAATTTTATTCGTAGATGAACTTGGAAATTCTAGTGAATGATAGTCTTCTGTATTTGAAAAGTATATTTGTGATGCGCCCTCTTTGTCTATATTATGAGTTTGATCAGCAGCCCTTAGCAATCCAAAGCACAAAAATATCATTGATCTTTGACAGATTTCTTTTTGAATTAAATTTATAAAATTGATATTGAAGTGAAATCGAATTATCTCTGTAAAATGTGCTATTTAATAATTTAATTAAAGATTTTCAATTTTTCAAATTCGCTAATTCTGAGCAATGTGAAATGAAAGTATGATTCATTATATTTTTCATTCGGAAAGGTTTCACTCGACTCTACTATTAAAAGCTAATTGATAGCATTATCTGGTTCGGTCCCGATTTATAAAGTTGAAATTGCCGATCACATAATTATGGAATAATACAATTATTTTGTTGGAACTATTGCCCAAATCTTTAGTGAGCTCTGATTTTATTTGTATGAGAAAATTTAAAGGTTGAATAAATATAAAAAGTAATTATTTACTAGATTTAAGGACTCAAAGTTCCTTTGTTTGTGTTGGCTTACGATGCTTGGCCATTTGATAGACTTTAACATAGTCGATTTCATATCTTCTTGGCATTTCTTCATCATGGATTGTGCCACCAGTTGCACCAAGGGCAAGGTTGATAATCATATATTGTGGTGTCTTGAATGGGTTCTTAACCTTCCACCAGTGACCCTCGTTGATTGTTCTATCTAAGTTAACACAGTTCTGAAGTTCGTCATCAACGTAGAGCTTGATAGCTTCTTCATCCCAGTCCATTCTATATTCATGGAAGGATTGGTTCCACTTTGGATCAAACTTTGTCCAATAGCCAGAATATGATGTTGTGCGTGTACTCCAGATGCCTGCCCATTCCCATTCACTTGCCCAGCAAAGGTTATGAAGTGTATGATCCTGGTAATACTCAAGAAGATCGATTTCACCGTTTGATGGCCATTCGCCATCCATTTCTTCGTGACCTAAGAACCAAAGAGCTGGCCAAGACCCAGACATTGTTGGGATCTTGCAAGCGGCTTTGAAGCGGCCATATAACCAATCAGCCTTCTTATCTGTGATAAGAGATGTTGATGTGTAGTTGATCCACTTTCTGCTGTATCTCCAATCTGTGCTGCTAGCGTTGTACCATGGGTTTGGCTTATCGACTTCCTTTCTGCCTTCAATGATAAGACGACCATCTTCAACCCAGGAATTCTCTGGCTGGTACCACTCCATTTCATTGTTTCTTACAAAGCCGTGTTCGAAGTCCCATTTGGTTGGATCTGGTCTGCCGTTTGTGTCGAATTCATCGTTCCAAACCATCTCGTATGTTTCTTCATCCTTATGCTTCTGCTTGATTTGAGCTAATTCTTCATCAGTAGCAACAATAAGTTTTCAGCATGAGGCACTTCCAAATGACCTGTCTGGCCATGTAACTACCAAACCACCATTTTGGCAGTGAATTGGGTTTCCATTTTCCTGAACAATTAAGTATGTGTCATCTTTGTAGAGTGGGATAACTTCATATAAAAGTGCGTCCTTTTCATCAACAGATGATGTTGTGCCAGTGGCATCGTTTGATGTGGAATGGATGTACAATCCTGTGGCTGCACTCCTGATCTTATAGAATATCTTTCCGTCTTTAATAACCATATCGAAGAACCAAAGAGCATTGTCATCCATTGTCTTGTCGAAATATCTTAATGTTGCACCAGCAATTGGCTTTGTATTGTATAAGGCACTGCCTCTGCAATAGTCAACACCATTGCTCTTATGACATGAATTTTCTTTATATTATTTTTTTTTTTGGATTTTCTATGATTTATGCGATAGGCTGGAACAACATTGTAAGTGCAATGATATCATTTATAGAGAAATCTAAAACTTCAGCATTCAGAACTCGCAACCACAAAAATATTCATTTGCTAAGTAAGTAAAGTTGATTAAGTTCGACACTTAGCTTTTATACGTAAAACCATGTGTGTATTGTTATTTCTTGTTAAATTATTGAGAAAAAAATAAATTGTAAGAGAAACGATACTGATTATTGAAATAATATTGAGGGTAGCTGCAGATTTCTTCATTAACATGCCGGAAATTTGTTAATCTTGGTTTTCTATCATAAAATCTGTCGAAGAATCTAAAAACGGAGATATGAAATAGAGATCATGTAAATCTAGAGTATCCTGTCAGAAAAATAGACTAAGCATGTAACCCTTTTTTGGTCATAAACACTTTTTACCACTTAGTCATACAGATGATCATTAAATTTAAACGAGCACTTTTTGTCAGAATTTATTCTTTTACAAAGACAGAAGATTTTAGTATTATTTAATATTAGTGCTGTAGCAAAATTCAAAAAATGGTGAAAATTCAGTGAATTTGTGAATTCACATTTTTTTTTCGACATTTTTCTTGATATATCCATGCACATTAAGAACACAGCTTTGATACGCTTAAAAAAGCATATTTCATATGAAATTGTTAAAGAAATAAACAATTTATATAAAAATTGCACTTATGGGCAGTTTAGATATATAATTTATATATAACATATATACAAATTCATAGACAAAGTGCAATAACTACAATGTTGTAGAAAATTACAGCAGAAATACTGACTTTTTGAAGGATAATAAGAATTCTTCTAAATGTTGTATTTTTATAATTTGATTGATTTTTTTACTATTTCAAAAAAAAAAAAAAGGTAGTGGGGCCTCCAGGCACTTCGTGCCCTCTAGCCCTGAAGATGTTTAGTATAAAATGAAGTTTGGGTACTGGGGGCTTCCAGGCGCGTTGCGCCCTCTAGCCCATAAAAAATTTTTGAGAGTCGTCGTCGTTGACTTTTTTGTAGAGCACTCAAAATAGTATAACTTTGTCCGGACAAGTAAGGGTCTATCGTCGCTACAGGAAAAGTTACGGGCGTTCCAAGGAAGTATACTTTGAGAAGCCTTTTCTGTCACTTTTCAGGAAAAAACATTTTTATTATTATATATAAATGAATTTTACAAAACCGCCGTTGCCGTTCTTTGGAAATAAGAGTAGATGTAAAGATATTATATTGAGAGAACTTAAGAAACTACCGAATGGTCTAACATTTGTAGATTTGTTCGGTGGAAGTTTCTATATATCCCATTTATGTCATACCGTATTTCCTGACTCAAAGATTATATGCAATGACTTCGACAACTATATGGACCGTCTCAAACATATTCCAGACACAAACAATATATTGAAAGAGTTAAAAGAAAAGATACCTATAGGTAAGATGGAACGTATGCCATTAGATAACAAAAATATTGTGAGAGAGGTTTTGAAAAAAGCAGAATATATAGACTGGGATAGTATATCTGCTAGACTATTATATAGTGGTTCTATAAGAGTTCATGACATTGAAACACTTATGTCAAAAGTTTTATATCTTAACTATACAAATGTTTTCAAAGAGGACATAGAAAAATATATTGAGGGTATAGAGTTTGTGAGATGTCATTGGACAGAGTTGTATGAAAAATATAAAGACAAGGAAAATGTTTTCTTTATAGTGGACCCGCCGTTCTATAACACATGGGATTTTCAATACCAAGTAGACTGGACTTTGAGAGACTCTTTAGAAACTTTAGACGTTTTACATAACCATCCATGCTTTTACTTTACATCCGATAAAAGTGATTTGGAAACCGTTATGAGATGGTTAGAGGACATACATGACTATGAGTTTAGATATGACAAGATAGAATATGAGAGAGGTCCTATAAACCGGAGAAAGTGTCATAACAAAGAAATTTTATTAGTAAGTAAATGTGGTTTGAAATAGGACTACTTGTTTTAGGTTTTTTCCATTGTGTCATTTATTTATTTGACGTGGCAGAAAAGTACAGAGAATATGAAGATGAACCAATGCCTGCAAATGTTCAGCATATGTACTCGTAAGAGATATTTTTATCTAATATTAAATGGACGCACAGAACTTAGCGAATGCACAGCAACCTGGACAACCAAACCCAGAGAATATTCCAAATGAAGTTAGAATACAAACTGCAATGGCAAACTATGGTCAAGTGCCAACAGATGTACAAATGCAAACTACCATGTCAAATGACGCTGCGTTAGGTTTGCCACCATGGTATGCAAATATGAGATGGAAAGAGTTTTATACAAACCCTGAAGTGGGATATAAACAACTTTATGCAGATGACGCGAACATAGGAGTTGACCCAGAATATGTTTTCTACCAGAGGAGAAACAGAATGTATGAGCTCCAGTTAAAGAATGCTATGGAACTCAACAGGAAACGTAAGAGACTAGGCGGACATTAGATTTTTACATATAGTAAAATGGGTTTCTTTGGAAGAATAGGAAACTTCTTTCGAAATGTTGGAAGAGGTATATGGAATGGAATAAAATCTGTCGGAAGAGGAATTTGGAACGGAGTCAAAAATATTGGTAAAAGAGTAGGTCAGTTCGTTGGTATTATACCTAAAGACCCTGAACCAGAAGAACAAGCTCCTGTTATACAACAGCCTGAACCTGCACCACAGTCTAGTTGGCAACCAAATCCAACACCTCAACCGTATTAAAAAATTATATTTTTACCGTTCGATAGTAGTTGTATATGAAACTAAGTTCTAAGTAAAACGCATGGTATAATGGAATTATTCTCTTTCTTCCATCTGTTGTAAACCATACTTGAAAGTCTGAAATACTTCCACTTGGTGGTTCATATAGCTTTGTAGGTTTTTCGTAAAAGTCATTTGCCAAGCATAAGAAAGAGTTTTGGGCGCCAGAAAATGAAGCATGAACGATAATAGCATCTGGGTCGAAAACATTTCATATGTTCCATTAGGGTTTTCGACTTCATAAAAGTCCGGGTGTACTGGATATTCTGCAGGCTGATTTAACATCCTCATAAATCTATACCATGCCAAGTTGTTATATTTTGTAGAAATATAAACGTTTTCTCCAAGGTCTTCTATTCTATTGATTTTAACAGTTGCATTTTTCCTGTCATAAATAATATCGAGATGGTACTCTCCCTCGTCAATGTTTACTGGTTTGCATATTCGATATAGATATTGTTTATTTTTTCTTGAAAAGCTTGAAGAGTTGTTTCTAAGTTTACAAGCAAACTAACTTGTAAAAGTTTTCCCTGTTCAAATTTCTCATACATACGTTTTTCTTTGTTATAGTATCGAACTTCAAAACCGACCGTAAATGGGAAACCATGTATGGCTTCTGAAATGAACTTCATTCTACGAAAGCCAATAGCTTTGTGACAGATGGGTCTCTTAACCATCTTAATGGGTAGTCAAAACGATAGCCTTCATGCTTTACGGTCTCTGTCTCAAACTTTTGACGACATTAGTAAAAAAGTTCATCTAATGGTTTAGTTGTAGCAACTCTTGAATTTTCTTTTTTCTATTGGAAGCATATTTTATCTAGAATAAAAATGTCGAAAGATATTGCTTCCATGAGAGAAATACAACACAACCGACAACTCATTGTGCAAGCCTAAATAAGAACACAACAAACTTTTCAAACTATTCTAAGATATCTGAGTCATTGAAAGAAGGAAACTTAAAAACTGACATTAAACCAATGACAGATGAGTTTCTATTTCAAGACAAGAAGAACAATACTGTCTGTATAAATCCAACAAAAGGAACTTTAAACGAGAAACCTATAAATGAACTTCTTTTGAAAGCAGATGTTGACAACAAAGCTGACAAGAATATGTAGACGATGCAATAGCAAAAGAAGAAGAAAGAGCTAACAATGCTTATGCAACAAAAGAACATACTCATCCTGAACTAGCAGACAAAACATATGTTGACAATAAAATGTCAAGTGAAGTGACGAGAGCTGAAAACGAATATTCTAAAAAAGACTCATACACATTCTATATCTGAAATAACAGACTTAAACGTTAGCCTTGAAAAGAAAGCGGATAAGGAATATGTGGCTAGTAAGTTAGAGAAGAAAGCAGATAAGGAATATGTGGATGAAAAAGATAACGAAATGAAAGAAAGGGTTGACTGGTACCATGAATGGACATCGAAGATTTTAAAAACTAAAGCCGATACAGGATGGGTTTCAGGATGTTTAGACCTTAAAGCAGATAAAACTTATGTTAACGATGAGTTAGAGAAGAAAGCAGATAAGAACCATACACATAAATCCTTCACTACTGTTAGAGCAGACGACATAATACTGAACTTTGACCTTGGTTCAAGTGCACCTTTAGAGAATCCGAGTACAAGCGTAAAAGATACTCTTAACAATTTAGATAAGAGTTGCAGGAATATCGAAGATCATGCCAGAAA